CATATGGAGAACAGAAAGAGACTGGAACAAAAAATTTTTTTTTGCATTAAGACGTGGCTGCAGATGTCTCTGGCATGCTGGGCCATCTCCCAGGAGGGAGGACAGGACTATGTCTAGAAGTTCTACCCAAGGTGACATGTAGGAGAACACAAAATGGGAAAATTCCCTTGCCCGCCTCCCCACCCTCCCACCTACTTTTAGACCTTTTTAAAAGTATGAACGCTGATTTTTGTCTGGGAAACACTGTTGAGAAATTAGCCTTCTTGGGGCCTGAAGTTTGTCAAGCTGGCTCAAGATCTCCAGCCCATTACTCTGGTGGTTGGGGGTCGTTATCTGCAGAGATCGCGTTGAACCCTGAGTCACTTTGCAAGGACACTGTGCTTTTGCTGTTATTTCCTGAAGGTTGCAAGACACATGTCCAGCGACCTTACCCAACTGGGTGATTTCTCAAGAATTGTAGCGATAATCAGAAGCCCTCTCTAGGCATCAAATGTAACACAAGTTTCCTCTCCTTTGACGCCTCCATTGCCGCAGGCAGATCAGACAAGAGTTCTTTCTCTCTGGCATTTCATCCCCACTTTATATTAGTGAAGCTGCTTTGATAATCTTCTTACAGAACCTGGGGCTTGTGACTTCAGATCGTTAGCGCTCCAGAGAGGAACCCTGGCCCAGTGGTTCCATTCATCTGGGACCCCAAGGAAGGCTGAAGTAAAACTTCTTTTCCCCTATCATGTCCCAACAGGCTGTGTGTCCAAGGACCCCAGGAGCCTCTGTGAACCATTTCTGTTATTGCTACTCCCCAGTGTTGGCTGTGACACGGCCCCTAGAATCCCAACTACAGCCCACTCAAGAGGCGAGGTGGCGTGTGCCCCTTCACACCAACCTTGGAGTCATTTATCGGGGAACCGTGGGTGCTCTGGCCTCCTGGCAAGTTTCACGTGAAAACCCAGTCTCTTTCTGGGAATTTTCCCGGTGAAAATCATCATTTTTGCACAGGAGATATTCTTGACTGTCCTTCTGGGCAGCCTCACAATCTAAATGTCATCCCCAAGTTTCCTGCTGGGTACCACTTTCCAGGCATGGGCAGTGGGGGCGAAGCCTAGCTGTCTCCCAGGGTTCAGGCCCAGGGAATCCCGGGCACATGTGTGGTAACCGGAGCTCAGAGCCCAGGCCTGAGTGTGTGTCGTCGTTGTCGTTTTTTTTAAAACAGCTTCATTGAGGTGTCACTGACATATGATAAACTTGACAGCACATATTAATATTTAAAGCTACAGTCTGATGACTTTGATTGTATGTATCCATCCTGGCAATCATCACATTCAGGATGAAGAACACACCACACCCACTGCCCCCAAAGGTTCCTCCTGATGCTTCGCAACCCCTCCTGCCCACTCCTCCCTGAAACACCTCACACACTGTTACAAAGTTGAAGACAAAAACAGGAAACAGGAAAGCGACTCTACCCATTCCACAAGTCGGCTATAACCCTGGCTCCAAAACAAGGTAAGGAAATTATAAGACAATTACAGACCGATTTTTCTTTTGGACCCAGATGTGAAAATCTTCAATAAAATGCTGGTTAGTTGAATTCCTCAATTAGGGAAAAAATATGACCAATTACAATTGCACCCCAGACTCCCTCCTTTTTTTTTTTTTTTAATTCTCCTGTGTGTTATATATTTTTCACCAAATCTTTGTTCATTTTCCAGTTTTCCTTCCAATTTCCCTGCAGTATTCAATTTGGCTGATACTCTCATTTTATCCTGACATTGCCCGAGCAGCTTGGCTGTTTTCTCATAAGCTCCTGGAGGGGAAATGTGTCCTGGAGGAAGAAAGGATGCTGGTGGGTGGCAATCACCCAGATTTCAAAATGAAAGGAGCAGAGGAGGAGGGAGGTTGTGTTCAATTCGTTTTCTTAGGGCCTTTTATTGCTTGTCAATCTCGTGAATGGGTCTCAAGAAATACCACTAAAGGACCTGGTATAACTTCACTTTGTGTCAAAGCTCCAGAATACAAAGACTCCTTCTTTGATCTGGAGGTTAGGGCCCAACAATTCGGGTTTCTAGGGTAAGGCGTTTGTTTTCTATTCCCTCCATCTGTGCGGCTGTCTCTAGCATGATTCATAGTATTGAGGACGTGACACATGGTGAAATGTCGAACATCCATTTATCAACAAATATTTATCAATTAAGTGTGAACTCAATTAAGGGTGAACAGTGTGTGAAGATGAAAATGAAGACAATGCTCTATTAAAATTGCTTGCATCAAGAAGCACGCGTATACCTTGTTTGCTGTGTGTGTGCTCCATCATGTCCAACTCTTTGCGACCCCATGGACTGTAGCCCACCAGGCTCCTCTGTCCATGAGATTTCCCAGACAGGAATACTGGAGTGAGTTGCCATTTCCTTCTCCAGTTAAAACACTATAAAAGCAAGGGCTATGTTGGGGTGCAGTGGGGTAGAAAGGGATGGGAAGGCTTTAAGATCTTTGCAGGATCTGCCACGGCAGCACTTGAGGAATGACAGGCCAACTTGCAAAGTGCTTTCACTGTGCTAACGGGAAGGTTGGGGATGGGGTGGGTGGGGCATGGACACAGCTCACCTAAGCTGTCTATGGAAACAAAGGGGCCCCAGTGTGGAGTACCCAGAAAGCCTGCAAAGTGGGCTGGGCCTTCCCATGGAGAACCTAGAAAGCTACCTCATGCCCGTCTCCAGCCAGTCCCACCACAAGATGCCACCACTCTGATGTCTGTGGCCACATAAGGTAGGTGTGTGATTAACTTTGTACTATTCTGCGAAGTTTTGCAAAGTGGTTCTCCCATTTCACACACCCACCAGCAATGAGAATGCTAGTTATTAACAGGGATATTCTTGTGTTTACGTAGTGCTCTTACACTGTAGTTTAATTATCATTTTCCTAAGGGCTGGGAGTGTTGAGTACCTTGCCGTGTATACCGACCATTTCTATACTTTGGCAGAATGTTAGTTCAAGTCTTTCGGCCATTTGAAAACATGAGTTGTCTTTTATTTTTAATACTTAAGTATTTGCTGGGTCAGGTCTTGGTTGCAGCACACGGGGTCTTCGTTGTGCCATGCAGGGTCTTTCCTTGCAGTGCGCGCACTCTTTAGTTGTGGTGCTCTAGCTTAGTTGCTGTAGCATGAGGGATCTTCGTTCCTGAACCGGGGATCGAACCTGTGTCCCTTGCATTGTGGATTCCTAACCACTGGGGAAGTACCGCCCCCTCCCCCCAATCCGTTTTCTTTTTTAACTCTTGAGCTTTGGCAGAGTATGTTAAGAGTTCTTTACACAGCCTGGGTGTAACACATGCATTTGACACACAGACACACACACACTTTTCTCTCAATATGTGGCTTGCCTTTTCATTAATGGTTGTTGTCATTCAGTTGCTCAGTCGTGTCCAACTCTTTGTGACCCCATGGACTGCAGCACGCCAGGCTTCCCTGTCTCCCAGCATTTGCTCAAACTCATGTCCATTGAGTCGATGATGCCATCCAACCATCTCATTCTCTGTCCCCCCTTCTCCTCCTGCCCTCAATCTTTCCCCACATCAGGGTCTTTTCTAATGAGTCGGCTCTTTGCATCAGGTGGCCAAAATAATGATATATTTGCTTAAAATCTTGTGGATCCAGATTATCAATTATTTCCTTCTGTGGCTAAGTGTTTGCTGCCCCATTGTACTGTGACGTGGTGAGGGTTGCATGGTAGAAAAGCCTGTTCCCAGTTTGTCATCTGAGGACATGGAGCCAAGAACCACAGCAAAGCCCACTGTTGTGCTGTAATAAACACGTTGTACAAATGCAGAGCAACTGCTGAGAATGAACTGTTATGGCATAAAGGTTCACGAATAAGATGACAGTGTGTAGACTCCACATGTGATTATTAGTTGCTAAAACTCAGATGAACCTTTGGTGATGGTCCCCCCTCCACTGAGATCTGTCTGGCCCGTCAGGAAAGGTGTCATTTCCTGCTGGGAAGATGAGACAAGCAGATCTGGGGGGCCCCCAGCACCCCAGGAACTCCAGATTCTTTTCCATCTGCTCGTGTGCTCTTCTGTCAAAGCCCATTTGGCAGAGCTCTTTGGAACTGAGCTAATGTACTTCGTCATTTGTTACAGCCAGCCAGATTCCAAATTGATCTAGTGGAAGAGATGGCAGCTGGGCTCAAGCAGGATGAGACCCTTCCAGGAGGGCCAGCAGAGAGAGCACACACTCCCCAGTTGAGAGCCATGGGAAGGGAGAATCCTCGGAGCCACTAACTGGGGGCCTGGGAAGATAGTTTCATCAACCATGGAGCAGGAAATGTGGATTTAATTTGCATCCCCCTAGTGGCACACAATTCTGAGCATTTTAAACACACTGATGATTTGTATATTTTTTGTGAAGCATCTATTCAAGTCTTCCCCTATTTAAAGAAATTAGGTTGCCTGCCTTTTTTTAGTGAGTTCTTAATATAGCCTGAATATCAGTCCTTTGTTGAATATATGCTTTACAATAATATTTTTCCCAACCTGATTTTTATATAATAATCTTGTACGCCATGACCTTGCTAAATGATCTTGTTAGTTCTAATAGTTGAAGATACCTTAGGCTTTTGTATATAAATGATCATATTATTTGCAGATGGGGACTATTTTATCTCTTCTAATCTTTATGCCTTTTTATTATCTATTTTTCTTGTCTTTGGTATACGGTAAAATGTTGAGTGTAAAAAAATCATGAATGAGTCAAATATTCGTTCCTGTACCTATTGAAAATATATATATTTTAAAAAGCACATATTAAAAGGCAATAACTCAAACAAGTTTAGTAAATATCTTTGCACAAACATCCACCATTACCCCAGTGCCTATAACATCACTGTTTATGGTAGGTGGCAAAGCCTTGGGCTCAAAACACAAACCTTCTGACTTTAAGGATCCTTTTCTTTCACCAGCACCATGGTGTCTTCAGACTAGTTGAACACAAGAAATCTCATGATAATGCTTTTGGATTTTTCCTCTTTATTTTTATGAATAAAATGCAACATACATATTATACTTGGCAATGAAACTGACAGGATGAAAGAACATTAACTCTTGAGATGGGAGACAACATGAAAAATTGGCATCCTAGTGACAACATGACTTTTCAATCAAATCACATCATTTCCAAGAACAGCTGGAAAATACCTGAAAGAAAAGATGTCATTTTTAAATTAAGGTAGTGTGTGTGTGTACAACTGTTGAAAAATGTTTGAAACATTTTAATCCATGTCATATTATTTTTTATTAAGTGACATGTTTATGAAAAGAAAAAGAAAAAAAAAAAAACACAGCTGAAAATGCCAGACAGAAAATAGAAACTACAGAGTCCCATAATATATATTCCTTTCAGATGTGTAATACATTTATGAAAAACAATTGAAATATGCTTGATAGAAAGAAGGGGCACTTTACTCTCACGTGACTTTCAGTCAAGTGCAACGTGGGGAAAACAGTTGAAAATGCATGAAATTTGATGGAGTGAATTCCTACATTTGAAAACTTGTGACTCCACAGGGTTAAACACACGAGACAATGACTAAAGGACAGACTCTCTCAGCCTCTACAACACACATCACAATTACAGAGTATTTTTGGTTTTAAAGCTTTTGCTAAAAATATTTTACATCATTAAATGCATATTATTAAATGTACATTGAAAGCTAACTGAAGTGACTTAAATAATAAGATCAGGGGCCATTTGTAACAAAAATTGTTAACGTCCGTTATTTTTTCCCCCCAGGAAAGACAAGTGAGGTAGTTTATATTGTATATACATTGTAAAGAGATTAATATTCCAGTTTGTTCAAAGATCTCCCCTTGAACTCACTGAACTCATTGTTCAGTGACCTGAAGAATCATGAGCTGTTTAGCAAAGGGATCTTCTTTTGTAGACTGGAGGCAAGAAGGAGCCTGTTCTAGGGTTTTTTTTCTGAATAAGCATTCCTAAAACGTTAACTTTCTCTAACGCTCTCCTAGATGTCATTTTCCTAACTGCATACCAAGAGCGCACGTGACAAGGTGAGGTGGAAGCTACCAAGAAAAGAAATTTAGAAGCCCAGGGTCTGACTCTTGTTTGCAGATACACTATTCATGTTTGCCTTTACACTATTCATTTTTATAGATGACTGTAACTATTGCAAAAACAACTCTTCATAAGGCAAAGATAGTTTTTCAACACTTAGGTGACTGGCATTTCTTTCTTTCTTTTTTTTTTTTTTGGTGACTGGCATTTCTGAGTTTTAGTTGTACAGGTTTGTTTATTCATTAAGAATAAAGTTAAGTTAAAAAAAAGTAATAAAATCAGTAAAAAGAACTTCTTTAACTTCACAAAAATTAGATTGTCTGTCTACTGGAAATTCTTCTCTGATCAGTTAGTTAATGCTATGACTAAGAATTCAAGTTACATCCAATATATGGGTAGTGACATGGGCTTCCATATTATATCGTTATTTTAAAGTTGTCACACATCCTTGAAGGCAGTGAAGTGATTAATTTAAGAGTATTGACTGGCCTGAGCCTTTGACATCTAAATGATGTCACATCCACATCAAATGTGGATAAGAAATTCAGAAACTTAATTTTTTTTACCTGTCATCTGTTAGCCATTTATTTAAAACTAATGACTAATGGGGTAAATCTTAAGACTTTTAGAATTTTTCCATCAGTGTTAATGTGTTTTCAGTCAAAAGAAATAAAAATTCCGAAATAAAAAATTAAAAATAAAAAATTGGCTAGGTTGGTGAATTTTATAAGCACAACAGAATTTATTCTAAATGAGAGGAAATTCAGTTAGAAAAATAAGTCATCGTTTTAATATATACACAGACGTGTAAGGCACCTAATTTGAAGAACTTCCTTGTATGTGGGCATCAGTTACAGCCATCTTATGTCTTGGAACTTAGCAACTAATACATGGAGTAAGATGCTTACTCCTGTTTGAATTGCAAGAATGATAACTGCATTTTCTCAAACCCTCAAAGTTCATTATGCAAACTCACATGCTGTCAATTAGCCATACATTGAAAACTGATGAAACAAAGGAATAAATATAAACCAAGAGAATGCATGTTTTTCTTCCACTGGGTTTTCAAGCAAAGGAAATAAAAATTCTCAAACAAATAAAATGAATGGATATTAGTTTTCCACAAAAATGTAACAAAGCTCCAATGGCCAGGAACGCTGAATATAAATCATGGTTTTATAGCTATCAAGGCATACTGAGCATGGAAAAGATTTCTTTCATAATATAGGCTTAAATTATCATCACATTATGTTTTTAGACTTGGTAAATAGATAAAGGGCTTCCCAGGTGGCACTAGTGGTAAAGAACCCACCTACCAATGCAAGTAGGTAAAATGCTTTCTGCATTTGTGAGCAACTTTGTCTATTGTTTGAACTGCAAGGGAGAGTCATTTGGATGTTAAATTTCATTAAAACTCACATAAGCTCGTCAAAATCTCAAGCTGTAGATTCTAATCCAAAGCACACATGTGGGATAAGTGAGACCTCTATCCCCGTTTCTATATGCCGCAGTCCCCAGAGGAAAGGCAGGGCTCCCTGACCTCTCAGCACATGTCAGATCTGCTCTCAGAATCGTGGAGAACTGTGCTTTCTCGCCAACTCCAGGCCTGGAAAAATGGCTTTGTGGGCTTCTGGGAGCGAGGCAGTTTTCAGGTCACCCAACATGCATCTGATTCTAAAGCCTGATGCTAATCTACGGGGCCTGGCCAAGTCTATGATGGATGAACACAAACAAAATCTGTTTTTACAGCGTAGGAAGTCTGGATAGAATGGTATTTTTCAGTACTCTTGGATAAAGAGCAGTTGGATAAAGGCAGTTCTGCATTTGAACACTGGGGCTGCAGAAGTGATTATCTACAGTCATGAAACTTAAAAAATGATCTGTTTGGGGAGGAAAGACAATCTGGGCCTGGCACATGGAGAGCTATTCACTGAGCACCATCATCATGATGAGAAACAGAAGCTCCAGGACTGCTGACTACACTGAAGGTTATGGAAGCACAAGAAAAGCCTTTGTAAACCTGACCTTAACCATGTGCTCGTAACAGAGTAAGCTTTAAAAGTATCCGTTTTCAATAGTCCATGATGGGGAAGTGTTCACTTGCACCAGAAAGCAGACAGTCACAACACAGTACAGCATACGTAACAATACAGTGGTCTTTAAACAGAAGTTCCTCCTCCTCCAATTCAGGAGCAAGTCAGAGCATAAATATTGTATGCGTGACTTTGGAAACAGTGTCTCTTTGGAAAGGAGATCTAAATTACTGTTCAGAGAAGAAGTTTTTGTTTTTTTCTGGCATTCTTGTTCAAATATATATATATAAAACATAGGTATAAAAAAGTCTCTTCCATCTCTTGTGTTTGGCAGCACTTGCTACATTGAGAAGTGCCTCTTATCCCCAGGTATAAGGACCAAGCTCATTTCTGTTGTGAGTCAAAGTATCAGAAATGATAAGAGCTCCATATTCTATGCTGGCCTTTCTTCTGGAAGGATCACACCCTCTTTCCTTCACTCTTACCAAGGAACCAGCATGAGACGGCTTCAGCTCAGATGGTCAACCAGCTCCTCTGCCACGATTCACGCTGACAATTCCGGGAGACACCAGTTGGGCTGAGAAACACCGAGAGGGTCTAGGGACAAACATGTTTTTTCCCTACTGAATGTAGGACTCCTTGGTGTGTAATACATGGTAGCTGCCATCTTGGGGGGTGATTTCAAACACTCTGTTGGGGTTTAATCACCCATTCTGCCTGGGGATTCACATGATATACATCCAGTATATAAGCATCCGGATCCAAGCAGTGCTGTCCTAAAGTAATGAAAATCGGAGAATGTTTTCAAAAGGCCACACTTCTGTGCATGTGCATATTTGTGTGAATGAGTGCTGCAAGACTCAAATAGACCAATATAGTTCTCTCAGCCAAAAGCAGATTCCGTTTAAAGTTTCCCGCACAGCCAACCTGCCCTCCTTCCCTCTTTCCTTTGTTTCTTTCTGACTGTGAAGTACTCTAAATAAACCCCATGTGCACTGGGGGAAAAAAAAGACTAACCCCAGGAAAACTGCTCCCCAGATCACCACACCAATTAGAAAAATATGGCAGGAACCTGTTTCAGGCATCAACTCATTTATATGATAATGATCACTGATGATCATTTATATGACAATACATGTCCTCTAATTTTTTTTTTTTTGCAGATAATAACTTGACCAGGACTAAGGATGAACATGAAATTTTATTTTAGGAGTGGTCACTTCATTTCTCCTGTGGGCAGAAGATCTGGAATTAGCAATGGAAAGATCATTCCATGGGGGCAAATGCATTTGAAAATTCTTATGTACAGTATGTTTGAAATGTCCACTAAAGTCTCAAACAAAATACCAAGATTTCATTGCTTGCTTGACTCATTCATTCAGTTCTCAAATATTTCTCGAGCCATTATGGTGTCGAGCATTATTCTAAGGGCTGAGGCCACAGCAATGCATCAGACAGGTAAAAATATCTGCCCTCTTGCTTACGTTCTAAAAGTGGTAAAGGCAACTAGCAAATAAGAAAGTATGATGGGAAGTAAGCCCGATGATGATAAGAACTCGAGAGAATGAGAAAGCCGGGAAGGCAGAGAGAGGATCCCGACCAGGAAGCTCTCACTGAGAAGCTGATACAGTGGCAAACACCTGCCAGGGGAGGGAGCGAGGCAGGGCCATCCGAGGGAGGGTGCTCTGGGCCCGAGCTGGAGCAGAAGCGAAGGCCCAGGATGAGATGCGCTGGTGAGGATGTGAAGGTGGGTGTCGAGGTGGGTCCCTTGAAGGGACGGGAAGGAATAAAAAGAAAATTCTGTCCCGCGCATGTGCCCTTGGCTCCCTCTTGCCCCTCACAGTTGGAATGAAATACTTATTCTCCTATTCATGGCCAGCGCGTCCCTCCTGCTGATGAGGACTGTGGTCATCGTCCCCTCTGTCACCAGCTTTCCCCTCCCAACCCCACCATTTCTCTCTGCATAAACATTTCTGTAACTCTGCTCATCTCCACACAACTCTCCACCTCTTCCAGTCAACTCCCCTCAGGGAAAGAGGATGAACCTGGGCTGGGAGCTGAACAGGGAAGTTCAACCAAAAGGATGTCAAGACTCTGAAAGTGCCACAATTTCTCCTTTCATTTGAGTAAATCTCCAGAGACACTCTAACTTTCAGAGTCATCTTTAAAAGACTCAGAAATCTACTCCACGTCAACTACAATATTTACATGTAAATTTAGGAACACTTTTTTAGGAAAGTTACACTATTCTTATGTGAGATTTTAAAAAAATCAGATACTTTTGATTTTATATCTAAGAAACTTGTAAAATATGTTTTTATTATCACAATTGTTGGGTCAGCGGCTCAGTCGTCTCTGACACTTTGCGACCCCGTGGGCTGCAGCACGCCAGGCTTCCCTGTCCTTCACTATCTCCCGGAATTTGCTCAAACTCATGTCCATTGAGTCAGTGATGCCATCCTACCATCTCTTATTAACACAGTAATAGCATCCTGTTTCCTTTAGAGCATTACTCAGAGTAGTCAGCAGATTACTCAGAGTTTCTCTGCTCCGGGAGATGGTGAAGGACAAGAAGCCTGGCATGAGGCAGTCTATGGGGTCACAAAGAGGGGACACGACAGTGTCTGAACAACAACAGAGTAATCAGAGCGTGTAGGAGGACAAATTATTGACAAATGCTTACCTATATTGCCTCCAATTTCATATAACCTTTGGTTCTGGATCTTCATGCATTCCGATGAACCATGACTGAGAAAAGAAGAAAGCGATGTAATTTTAACCCTCTTCAGAGATTCTGAGGTAAACCTGTGGATTAAGTAACCATAGCAGCAAACAATTGATTCTGCCTTGAGTGGAATACACCCCACAAATCACGAGGATGACTGAAGGGAGGATAAAAGCTTTTTCTGGTCTGACACAGCGAAGCGTCTGAGGCAGAGAGGAAGATGGATGCAGCCGGGTTCCACAGCCGCCCTGGCCTTTCCATCCACGACTGTCACACTGTCAGCTGCACTCGAGAGGGGACACCGTGGCTGACACATCAAGGCTGGCCGAGGAGCAGCTGGGCGCTTCACGCTACCTTGTCACGGGCCGCATCACTCTCAGTTCAAAAGCAGTCCAGCCTCATTTCTGCAGTTGTCAAAAATCGAATGGGGTTCTCTCCTTAGCCCATGCCACATTTCTAAGCTTGCCCAGCGGTCTGCAAACTAACGCTGACTTTGTTGTATGTCTCTGCCCGATAATGAAAGTAAGTCAGAGCAAATAATTGGCCAATTTTAATTTTCCACCCTGGACTAGGCTGCCAGGATAGAAGAGTCTGGAAAGGCCACTGCTGAGCTCCGGTTCCTTGAACTGTCAGCCTGGTTACTTACAGACTACCCTCTGGTTACAGACTATCCTCTCTCTCCACTGTGAGGGAGAAGGATATGCACCTCTTTGTTTAATGAAACATTTTATTTGAGATAGTTGTAGATCTGTATGCAGATATAGGAAAACATACACATCCTGTGTACTTCTTCCCTGGTTTCCCTGATAGTAAAATCTTGCAATATCCGAGTGCGATGTCACAACAGAAGGGCCCCATGGACTCAGTCAAGCTACCGTGTTTCCTTCCCCACATGGTCCCCCTAGTTCCCACTGATAGCCCCACACCCCGCCCCCGTGTGGTGTGTGTCCATTATTTACCATGACTTAATGTTCTTTAGGGTGACTTAAGGCAGACGTGGCTCAGACAGTAAAGAATCTGCCTGCAATGCAGGAGACCTGGGCTTGATCCCTGGGTGAGGAAGATCCCCTGGAGAAGGGAATGGCAACCCACTCCAGTATTCTTACCTGTCAAATTCCATGGACAGAGGAGCCTGGCAGGCTACAGTCCATGGGGTCACAAAGAGTCGGACACAACTGAGCAACTAATATCTTCATACTTTCAAGGCGGACATGCAAAAATATTTTGTCAACATCACTCTGATCCTAAGGTTCACTGATAATAGGTTTTATGACGTTCACTCCACTACATAAACTGTACTTGTTAGTCATGTTAAAGCCCAATGGAGCCTGGAATAACAATATTCCTGGAAATCTATCAAGATATATAAAAACTAACTTGCTAAAATTTTTATCCAAATAAAAAGTAAAACTCAATGAGTAAATGAAGCCACCAAGACAGAAAATCTACCTATTTAAGAATCTCAATTATAGAAGTTCCTTGGGGAAAAAAAGCTTTTGTTATTGATAACTCTATGCTATACTTCTTTCTCTACTGTTGAGTCTTCATTTACTGGTGAAGTCCTTAAAGTAACAGGTTCTAATTTTTCAAAAAGGTCAAATTTTCAAATAAAAGATTTGCTCATCAGATAAAGGCCCATCTGCCTTACAGAGATTCTCACATCTACTCACCTGTTCTCACATTGAAATTTTGCCAGTATGTCTCTGACTTTGGTTTGACCGTTGAGTTGAATGGCCATGGACACCTTGGAGAGAAGGGGCGCGTGGACCCTTATGACGCCCTCTGGCACGTCGGACTGCCAAGGAGGAAAAAGGCAGCACGTTTGGTCAAACTCCGCGATTGCACTTAAGAGACACGGAAATCGGTGGCATTCCAAATGAGGGAAACGTGGAAACATGATGGGGATTCAGCCAGAACGGAACACTGCTTCCTTTCTTACAGGAGATTCGCTAATGACTAAACTTAAGCTGGGGTTTTACTTTTGTTACAGGCTTACGTCTCACTATAACGCCTTAAAATCACAAGAGAGGGGACTTCCCTGGTCGTCCGATGGCCAAGACTCTGCGCTCCCAATGCTGAGAGCCCACATTCGATCCTTGGTCAGGGAACTAGATCCCACTTGCTGCAACTAAAGATCCTGTGTGCTCCAATGAAGACTGAAGAGGCTGCGTGCCACAACTAAGACCCGGTGCAGCCAGGTAAATAAATAAAGATTCTGTGTAAGTTGTGAGGGAAGTGAAACTGGGTTGTGACAGAAATGCAATGTTTCTATGGGTGCATTTGCTTGAACAGTGTCCTAACTAGGCCTACTTGAAGCAGGATTCTGTATTTCAATTTTTTTAAGAAAGTCAACCTTCTGAAAATTTAAGGATCTGTTTGAACATGTGCCTTTCAAATATACCTGTTTCTTTAGTCAGCAGCAATGAATGGTCATCCCAGACTGCATTCCAGCAACTCGACCCCTCAAAGTGTGCCAGGAACACTGTGAAGGACAGAGTGTGGAGGCTGGGAAGGTGTGTGGCTCTCGTGTGCTCTGATGGGCCCTGGGGCCTCAGAGCTCCTGTCTACATGAAATATTCAAAGAATGGTGCTGTCTAATGAACAGTAAAGTCTGTTGTGTTCTAACTGGATGGAAAATTCCCGGTGTTTCAAAATTTTGAGTGTTTTAAATATTAGTTATCTATTTAGAGATGGACAGAAATAAATACATTTCTATTTGAGGATCTGGCTATACCTCAGGAAATCGTTTTAAACAATCTGTGCATTATCAAAGGAAGGTACTGTTGATGTAGAAGGTTCATGTGAATTGACTCACTATATCCCTTAGAAGAAATATGGGTTGAATTGTGTCCTCCCAACCCCATCAAGTAAGAAGTCCTAAGCTCAGGACCTCAGAATGTGACCTTGTTTGGAAACAGGAGTACAAGTGCCCTTCATCCAAGGACCAGTGTACTCCAGTGACCGCTGTCCTTGTAAGAGGAGAAGACACACACACGCACTCACACGCACGCAGGGTGAATGCCATGTGAAGATGGAGCAGAGACTGGATGATGCCTCATCCACAGCTAAGGAAGGCCCAGGACTCCCGGCATCGCCGAAAGCTAAGAATGATGTCAGAATCACATCCTCCTTTCACAGCCTTCAGAAGGAACCAACCAGACAACACCTTCGTTTCGGAGCTTCAGCCTCCAGAACTGTGGGAAGTAAATTCTATCACTGCAATCCACCCTGTTTGTGGCACTGTTACTGCAGCAGTAGGAAACTATTTTTAAAGGATCAGTTCTTACACTGTATTTCTGCTATTACCAACGAGAACCAGGACAGCGTGCTCGGAATGGCCAATGCCAGGGGTCAGGAGCTGGGAGGGGGCAGGGAGCTAAGAGCACCCTCCTAAAACACTCTCTGGGCCACCTCACGTCCCTCCACTACCAGCGCCCCCCAGAAGCCTCTTAAGATGAATTCCACACTCCTGACATTATTGAGACTGTTATAATGATCACAGGCTCCCTCTCACTTTCCAGAGTATTCACTCTTGTGAACAGAACCCCTAGCCACAAATCCCGAGTCATCAGTGAGTTGAGTTCCTATACCATTCCTTCACATGCTACACTGAAAATGTCAAGTGTGAAGGGATATCATAACCAAAATTAGACAGCCAAAGATACAGCCAAAGAATACTATGTAAGGAGTTAATAATTAGGGAGGAAAGGGAATAATTTGTTTTCTTACCATTCTTCTTGTAGAGGGTGATTTTTGTAGTACCTTTGATGTCTTGGGGCTTGTAACCTGAAAAAAAAACAACACATTTAATCTTCAGAATTGATGTTGAGAAAATAAGCACATGCTGCTACTGAAAGTATAAACTGGTACAACCTTTATGGAAAACATTTTGGCAATATTTACCAATTATGAAATATATTCACTCTGACCCAATAATTCCACATCTATAACTTTATCCTACAAATAGCCTTCATTTGTAAGAAATGACACATGTGCAAGTTTATTCACTGATGCATAAACTTTTATAGCAAAAGGTTGGACACAATCTAACTATTCAACAATCTGGGAATATTTAAATAAGTCAGTGTGTCTTTGGAATATCATGCAAAAGAAGCAAAGAGGAAGGCTTTGTGGACTGACGTGGAATAACCACTATGATTCCATAAGTTATTAAAGACGATGCAGGACAGAGTTTCACCTACATTATCATTCATGTGAAAAAGGTGAAGACCACATCCTCATATTTGCTTGTATGTCACAGCACCTCTCTACAAGTAAATATACCTGTGTGTTCCCACGCACAGACGCTGTCATTGGTTATATCACTTGTCCTCAGGAGGGGAAGTCAAAGCTGACTAACTTTTTTCTATAGTTTCTCCCCTTCCAATGTTTTGAATTTTGTAAACTGTCAATGAACTATCAGTCTAAGTCAAGAAGTAAAAATATGGTATAGTACAAGAAAACCAAAGAAAGACTATTTCTTCATCTTTAAGTGCTTGCTTCCATGGTATTTATAACCTTTTAAAATTCTACTTAGTTCTATTTATAATTAAAACACTAAAGCAACTGACATGTATAAAGCATCACACAGTTCTTTACACCCACATTATGTGAGTTGATGCTGATGACAACTCGGTGAAATAGGTAGGTATTATTACTTTTCCCCCCAAAGTGAAAATGTAAGAAAATTGAGGCTCAGAGATAGACTTAAATTTGCTTGGGCTCGCAAAGCCTGACCTGACCTCATATTCAGCTCCAAACACATCATACTAACACCATTAAAATTTTCCAGAATGAAAATGGCAAAGAGGAAGAAATCTAGAAGTCTGTCTCTCCATAAAAGCAATGAACAAACTGGAAAAACCTGTCACTGTCAACTTCTTCAGAACTCCAGAAACTAACCCCAAAGAGGCAACCAGGGGAGTGCTTAAGTAGGAAAAACTGAGTCTTGATAAGAACGGTGAACTTCGTGGCATTTTAGCTTACACTTTCCCATCTCTGCTCCACAGCTCAATGACAGCCTTGAAAATAACCGCCTGCATTCCTGGTGCAGGTACCGAAGGGGGTGGAAGGGACCTCATTTACAAGGAATTCTAGTTATTTGTTCCCTGGAAGACTGGCTGGCCTTGATCTTGTCTGACCAGTGCTAAAGTGGTGTAATGTTGAAAACATTTATAGGCAAATGTTTTAATCACTGCTGCCTGATGCAGTGCATAAAGGCAGGGGAAAACATAAACTAACTAAAAAATCTTGGGAGGCAAGCCTAGAGAACTAGATGCTTTGGGGAGTAAGGTCTTTGAAAAGCTCCAACATATTCCTGAGAACCTAGAAGGTCATGTGCATGCTCAGGGCTGTGCACAGATTCAGGAAACACCTGAAAAGAACCTAAGTGCTCACCTCTGGCTGACCTTTAAGCTCTGTCCAAACAGGAACTCAAGTTCAGGCCAAGTTGTAAGCTGCCTGGCTGAATGCTGAAGGTGTGTCAAGCACCCAAACACAGAGCTCATCTGCAAAGCCTGGGAGATATTTTTGGCTCCAGGTATCTAAGAAAATCTCTGTGCAAACACCAGCAAACCGCTAGGTTTTGCTGCAACAGAGACTTCAGTAGCCACATAAAACAAAGAATAGAGACATAAGAAAATCTGTTCAGCAGAAAAGTCATTAACAAACATATAACAGCTATAACAAACAGCAACCCTGGGGAGGGGGAAGAATGTGAAGTTGATCTAAGAGACATCTGTAGGCCAGTGACAGCAGAATCCATTCTTAAGTACATATAAAACACTGTCCAGGATAGACAGCATGTTAGACCACAAAACAGGTCTCAGTCAAGTTTAAAATATCAAAATAATACAACATGTGCTACATAGCCACCATGGAATAAAATTAGAAATCAATAACAAAAGGAAATTTAGAAAATTTATGCCTAAATAACCAATGAGTCAAAGGGAAATTAGAAAATAACTTGAAATGAACAATAACAAAACAGTACACCAAAACTTACAGGATGGAGAAAAAGTACTGAGGAAAATTTACAGAAGTAAATGCTTACTTTAAAAAAAGACCTCAAATTAGTTGCCTAACTTTCCATCTTATGAAACTAAAAAAAGCCAGCCAAACTCAAAATAAGCATAAAGAAGGAAAAAAATAAAGATCTGAGTTTTAATAAGGGCTAGAGAAAAGCAAAAAATAGAGAAAATCAATGAAACAAAAGTTGGCTCTTCAAAAAGACCAAAGAAATTGACAAACCTTTTTGGCTAGATTCACGAAGAAAAAAAGAGAAGATTCAAATTATTAATCAAGAGTATGAGAGGGAACATTAATACAAACCTTACAGAAATAAAAAAGATTATAATAAATTTAATATGAACAATTAGTATTTCAACAAATTAGTTAACTTAGATGATATAAAGTCCTAAAAAAACAGTGACTATCAATACTGACTCAAAAAGAAACAGAAAATCTTGAATGGAGCTATAACAAGAACTTAAGTTAGTAATAAAAAAAAAATTCTTACAGAGAAAAGTCCAGGACCAGGTGACTTCACTGGTGAATTTTACAACGTTTAAAGAAATAACACTAATCTTTCTCAAACTCTTCCAAAAAATAGAAGGAGGAACCACTTTCTAACTTATTCTGTAAGGCTATTATTTCCTAATTCCAAATCCAGACAAAGATATAACAAGAACAAAAAACTAAAGGCCAATATCCCTTATAAAAGTTGCTGCAAAAATCTTCAACAAAGTACTTGCAACTGAACAGAGAGTTGCCATATGACCCAATAGATGCCCAAGAGAAACGCAAACAAACAAAAAAAGTGAAATAGTGATACATGCTAACCTTGAAATCATTATGCTAAGTGACAGAAATCGCGTACACAACAGGCCACATACTATATGATTCCAGTTACATGAAATGTCCAGGTAGATAAATTCATAGAGATAGAAAGTAGATGAGAGTTTGTCAGGGATGGTGGGGAGGGGAGTAGTGAGGAATGAATGTCTAACTCGTATGGGGTTTCTTTTGGGGATGGTAAAGATATTCTGAAATTAGATAGTGGTGATGTTGCACAACACTGCAAATTATACAAGAAATAGACACTAAAAATTACACATTTTGAAATAGTTAAAATGGCAAATTTTATATTATGTGAATTTTTTCTCAACTAAAACAAAAAATTTTCCCCAGATTTAGTATGTTGGTTATACTTCATCTGAAATCACTTTGCCTGTACATAGTGAGGGAATGCAGCCATCCATGCTGACTGTGATAGATCAATTTGCAATACCTCTACCTTACTGCCTCGGGATTCACTATTTCTTTCCTTGAATGAACTCTCCTTTCCTTCCTCCCTTTAGAATGCTATCCATCCTTCAAGGTGCAGTTCAAATGCCACTTTCTCCATGAAGCCTCCACACGCTCCACATTGGACACACTTCTTTCTCCTCTATGTGAGCCCCAGCCCGCTGTCTGCACAACACGCCTGACATGGAATGCATATTCACGGCTCTTGTGTATACTTCTCTATCAGATTCTCTCTCTACTGGATACACATTCCTTTAAGGACAAAGTGAGTTTCTTGTGCCTCTGCATCCTCCTCAAGGCCAAATGCTATGCCTGACACTTGCGATCGATCGTCCTCAGAGATCTTTAAAGCAGTAAAGATAATTCTTCTAAAACCTGTTCCCATTATGCATCTCCACACAAACAACTGTGCTAAGGCAAAAATTGTTTGAAGTGCAACAAATTTACACTAAATGACTTGAGGATTAGATATCCTTTCAGCATCCAATCACCATGGAAATCTCAGTCTCTAGCTATTAGATACACTGACAGCTGGACCACCCTTAAATCCAGTTCACAGGGATTAAAATGTTGACTCTCAGCATCTGTAAGAACCATTTGCCCTTAAGTACTTGAGAGAATATTAACAGAATTATCTTTATTAATATTAATGAATTATCTCTCATGATGATAGACAGAATTCAAAAACTTCAAGCAAAAAGCACCTAATTCAACAGAATGGAAATACCACAGCACTCCGTCATGAAAGCAATTTCCAGTGTTTACAGTCACAAGAGTGACACTTTGTGAGAATATAACAATTCTGTTTCTAAATTACAAGCTGCTTTGTGCATCACTTTGAGACATAAGAGCCTGGGTGGTCATGATATTTGTGCATTTATTTATTGTCTCATTACCCCTCGTTCTATGGTCTTCCTCCTTAGCAGCTTTTTGACACTTGGGAGCGGCTTCTTTAACAACATGGTGGCTTCATTCATTCTTCTGACTTGAGCGATTAAGAAAGATGGAACCTGGAGAAGAAACAGGGCTTGAAGAGAAGGAAAACATGTGGGTTGACCCTCCCTGGTAGAGTGTGTCTTCAGTTATGTTTACTCCTTCTGGCCACTCAGTATCCAGGAACCAGGAACTGTGGTTCTGTCCTCGTAAAGATTAGGAAAATCTATTAGGATTTCTGTTTAAAGGGAAATATGTTTGCGAGCGAGCAGCCCTGTGGAATGCGAAAGACGCCACCAGGAACCCGGGATCATGTCTCCCATCTCCCCCTGTGACTGAGGGCACTGCTCGCTCACCAGCCTTTATGTTTCCTGGATGCGGTGGATGCAAGAGGAACATCCGGGTCATCACACTGGTACTCACCGTCCACAGCATCTCCTGGTACTTGAGCATCAGACGGATGATGTGGGCAGCCGTGTTCGCCAAGAGTAATTCTTCACAGTCAGAATGTTTGCTTCTGCTGAAGAAGAGATTTGGTGCCATGATGGTAGAAATGTTCCATATACTCATGCGGTTTTTTGATTCATTGGCAATGACTTTATTGAAGAATGTCATGAGGGCCTAATAAGAAACAGCACGGTGTCACACTAGTTGTAAATCATAAAAAGGCATTGCTGATTACTGTCATGCATTTCTATACCCATTCACCAGGCCTCTGGAAAATGGTCAGAACTACAGAAAGGCTAAATGTGTCATGTTTCTTCTTTAATTGCTTGAAAGTGTGAATGAGAAATGTGAAGGATTTATTCATTTCTCTGCTTCATAAAAGTAGCTCCATTTTTTTATGGAATTTTTCATATTGGGATCTCTATAAATAATAGCTTGTGTTTTCTTATTTTCTTTTATCTTAAGCAAGTTTGACAGATATTAAAATTAAACAATAAACAAGGGAGAAAAACACTACAGCTCAAATAAACATGAAATGTAGTTTTGTTGTGAAGGAGGAAAAGTAACTCACTCTTAATTTAAGGCAATATTGTTAAAAATTATTTTCTGTTTCCTTGGGAAAGAAAAACACATTTTAAAAACTGAGCTTTAAAATAAATAAGTTGTGATGTAAACAAGTTATGGGGACATGGCACATAGCATGATGACGATAGTCAATAATATTGTATTGCATATTTGAAAATTACTAAGAGAGTAAGTCTTAATAGTTCTCTCAAGAAAAAAAGATTTTTTGTAATGGTGATGGAGGATAACAAAACTTACTATGGTGATTGCTTTGCAGTGTACACTAATATCAAAACATCATGCTATATATTTGAAATCAATATGTTATATGTCAAAAGTGAAAGTCACTCAGTCGTGTCTAACTCTATGCAAACCCATGGACTGTATAGGGGTCCAGACTATAGATTCTCCAGGCCAGAACACTGGAGTGAGTAGCTCTTTCCTTCTCCAAAGGATCTTCCCACCCCAGGGATGGAACCCACGTCTCCTGCATGGCAGGCAGACTCTTTACCATTTAAGTCACCAGGGAAGCCCAAGAATACTGGAGTGGGGAGCCTATCCCTTCTCCAGAGGATTGTATGTCAATAACTCTATAAAAAATTTAAAAACAAAGTGATTAAAAAAAGAAAACAATTTAAAGAATAGCAACGAAAAAATGAGTATCTAATTTCTCAGTTCACAAATATGTCAGTCAAAAAGCAGAAAACTTTTATTTTGGGGGTGCCATTTTTCTGCTGCTTTTCAATTTTGGAGTGTTCAGCAGACTGACGGGAAATGCTTATATGCAGTTGCTCTCACCATTGAAAAAAAAGAAAGCTTGATAAAAGTTTGGCTTGGCCACCAACGTATAACAGCCTAAATTCACCAAGAGGGTTGAAATCCTAAAAGGAGATGCTCTTCGGTTTTCCAAGTTTGAATTCTGTACAGTACATGTAACATATGCACATACTAGTGATCACAGCTACTGTGTATTTGTGGGTTAACTGAGAGCCAGGTATTATTTTTAGCACTTTACATACATCTACTCATTTCATCATCACCCCAAACCCTGGGAGGTAGGTACTATTATTTAATATTAATATTGTTTTACAGTTAAGGAAAGTAAGGTGGGGAGGGACTGAGTAGCTATGTCCAGTGTTACATAAGTAAATGGCAGAGTCAGGATTTGCCCAAAGCAGCCTAACTCCTCAGCCAGAACTCTTCTTTTGCACAATGCACTAGCTTCATCTTCATTCCAGTCACAATTTACAGTGGAAAAGAGACAGAGTGAAGAGGACGTTCTATTAGAAATGGGCTAAATTCTTCAGTCATTGCTACATCCTTGGTGATATGAAAGGGGAGATGACATTTTGACCCAGATATCTGATACCAAATTAATTTTTTTGGATAGAAAAAAAAATTGTTCAGAAAAAGGAAAGAAAACAAAGCTACTAAATTTCCAGCTTTTGGAAAATTACCAAATTGTCCTAGAAACAGACATTTGTATGCCTCTGCCTATTCCTCGTCTTGGGTGGAGGATGTAATACAATTGGCAGATGGTTTCACCAGAGAGGAGAAAAGGTCCTCACCAAGCTGAAATGTCTGACAGGAGGCAGCGCGAAGGATCAGCTTTGTTTTCAGGATCGTGTTTACTGGCCCCCAAATGACGGGCTCTTTCCAATTCATCCTCACCCCAATTCACTTAAAAGAGCCTGAGCACCTGCTATACTTATAACCGATTTCCTACTGTATGCAGAATCTATCAAGGTCAAAACAGCAACAGAGACCCTGATCTTTGCAAACATAATGAAATGAATCTGAAAGAAAAGGAGGAATACTTTGGATGGAGACCTATGGAATATAATTCTATGAAATGTTCTAATAAAGAAGAAATAACTTTTTCTCAGCTTAATTTTCTTAATCTTGGAAAAGGACACGGTCCAATCAGGAGATCTCTAAAAATCTGATTCTATCATTCTTTAAATTGAATTATGGTTAAGACATGAACATTCTAGAAACTTCATTTAAAACAGGATTTCATTTACTTCTGATGTTATTCCATTTAAGCCTTCCATCTTGGCTTCTTCCTACTCCTAACCCTAGCCCCGTGCCTGGCACATCATAGTCACACAGTTTCTCTTAATAGATTGAATGAATGAATGAAACGGAAACGTTCAAAGAAGATTCTGGGACTCACATTCTTTCCTGGCTTCCTCCGGAGAACAGGAATGGGTGTCAGGAAAGGCAAAAGGCTTGCTGCAGGCTCGACTGGTTGATAAAAGTTTGGCTGGGCCACCAACGCATAAATGCCTATCAGAACTTTCTGAAATTCACCAAGAAGGTTGAACTCCTAAAAGGAGATGCTCTTTGGTTTTCCAAGTTTGAATTCTGTACAGTATACGTAACATACACACAGTTTTCATTTTTCCACCTGGGCCGTTTCTTCTGACCAGTAAGAGTTGATGGCAGACCGTGAGGTTGATACAACCTACCTGGGCTGTGTCCCTGTTGGCATCAGGCAGTGCCATGACCATGAGGTGTAAGGCTTGAAACTGTACTCGGATGTGAGGCCCTCCTGACAAGAAAACAGAAATAAGCACCACGTGTTGAATAACACTAATGCATCCTGACAGCATCTCTTGCTAACTAACACCTGGGTGCACAGGAGGGGCCTGACAGCTTTCAGTGGGAAAGACTTGGGTTTCGTGACCAAGAATGTGAGTCTGTTCACTTGGACAGGAGATGGGCTCTATCAACTCCATTTTAGCATCCCAGAATGCCAGTGCTGGGGCAGGTGGCCAATGAGACCCTCAAAATAATTCTGGATCAGTGCGACACTTCCCTTTTCAAAGCACGTGCACACACCTTGCTTTTACTTTGATGCTATAAACAGGTGGCTTAAAGCTCGATTCGAGAGAAAATAAATCTTATTTCCACATAATAAGGCAGCCAGGCACAATTATTAGGAACACAGATTCTAGAATCAGATTCAAACTCTACATCGACTACTAAGTCCTGAGTGGCCTTGGGCAAGCTATTCAACCAGTATGCTTCTCTTATCACCTGTAAAATGGGGTTGGCATCATTCCTACCTCACTGGGCCCTTACCAAGGTTACATCAGTTAATGCTAGAGTGTTTACATCAGAGACTGCACTTGGTTACCTCTGCAGGTGTCATTATGATCACTGACACTGACTTCAGATCTTAAAGGGATGTGGATGGAAGGTGAAGTGAAAGTTGCTCAGTCGTGTCTGACTCTGCGAACCCATGGACTATAGAGCCCACAGAATTCTCCAGGCCAGAATACTGGAGTGGGTAATCTTTCCCTTCTCCCGGGGATCATCCCAACCCAGGGATTGAACCCAAGCCTCCAGCATTGCGGGCAGATTCTTTACCAGCTGAGCCACAATGGAAGGGGATCACAGCTGGATCTCTGGAGATTCTTGACTATTTTATTCCTCGGCAGTGACAGAAGGTGTCGCCAGAGGGTTGGCATCCTACTCCTGTGTGCTCTCAATACTGGCTCTTTCCCCGTTTTGGGGAAAGGATTTCAGGAAAATCCATCCAACAACGGGATAATCCACAACTGGCTGAGCTGAAAACGGAGGGTAAGCTGGAGCATCCGGCTTTGCCCAGTTCTTTCTGTTTTCTCCCCGAGTGGTCTCTTTGGTGGGGAGGCCCTGGAGGGAAGCGTGCAGTTCTGTAATCCCTGGGGAGCTCTCAAGTTGCAGGAAAATCTATCAATTTACGGCTCAGTGGATAAAGGCAGTCGGCCGCCTACAGTTACTTGGCTTTTCAGTAGTGGAAACACTCTTGTGACAAGTTCCTAGGTCACAGGAGGTCATGGGCACCCAAGTTAGGAGTGGATGACTGATGTGAGTAACCACTAAATGAAGGAACAGTTGGCAGGAGTATTTATAGGCTCATGTCATATTGCCCAGCAAATCCTCATGTGGATTTTTAAAAATTTATGTCAGATTTGTAAACAAAAATGACACAGGTCCAGGTTGTTTTTAAAAATGGCTAATGCATGCTGAAGTGAGTTTGTCTGAATCACAGGCACCATCGGGAGCATGTCTCAGTATAAATGTTTGGGGACAGAGAAGACATGATTTTAATGCATATCTTGGAGGCTATGGGCTGCCTATAATTTTCTAATGCAACCCAGAAAACCTCTGGGGGAAAACAATAGATGCAGATGCAGACTCTGTATTTCCATCAATTCCAGATAAATTACGAAATACCCTTTAAGATTAAAAATCTAAACTGGCAAATAATCCATTTTCATTTCCCTTAGGAAAGCTGGCCCTGCACTGTTGTGTGGTTAACCGTTTTGCAGTTAATTCATTTATGGCATCCTAGTTGAGTAAAAAAAAAAAAACTAGAACAAAAAATCCCTCTGTGGCACCATTTGTGTTGATGAACTGTTCAGTATATAAGCTGCAGATCAAGGTGAAGCTAAGATTTCTACAGCCCATTTTCCAGGACAGCAAACTTTACAGAAGCTCCTGTGTTTCTGACTTACAAATAAAGAGGTTCTGCTTCTGCCATGGCTGAGTAAGCTCCTTGCCAATCAACTCTCCTTAAGATAACTATAAACTCTGGGCAAAGTACAAAAAGCAGCCACACAAGGCAGTGGAGGATGAACAAAAGCAGGGAGATTCAGGATAGGACTGGACACTTAGAATTAGGGAACAGCGCAGGGAGAGTGTCCAATTGCCTGGCTATTAGTCTGAAGTCCGGCCATAGAGAGCATGGCATGAGGTGGCTAAAATCCCGAAAGAAAGCCCCAGTCTTTCTGGCCTGAACAATGAGAGGGCGGGGTTCAGGATGACCACAGGCACTGGGGAGTTATGGGGAATCCCAGAAAGGTCAAGAAGTAGAAGGACCTGATTCTGGTTTAAAATCCACCCAAATCTTGGCTCACCCCATAAATCATGCATATGTGGAGTAGCACAGGTAAGGATTAAATAACAAACTGTCTGCTTAAATACAAACGAAAAGCAAAACCAACCCCCAAACCCCACTCTCTGGAGAAATATTACAGAGTACAGGGTCTCCAAAAAAAAAGCCACCATGTTACAGATACAGTTTAAAGTTACTTGACATAAACAATGGCCCATTTTCAAGAGAAGAGACAATCAACAGAGACCAACCCTCAGATGACTCAGATGTTAAACCTAGTTATGAAGTAGCTATCATACTGATAGAACTAGTTATAAAGTAATCATATTGATAACTATGCTCAAGGATATGAAAGAAAATATCATGAATGAAAAGATAGGCCAGGTCAGTAAATAGAAAACAGGTATAAAGTAGTCACTGGAAATTCTAGAACTGGGAATATATTGGGTTGGTCAAAAACTTTGTTCAGATTTTCCATAACATGTTATGGATAAAACCTGAATTCACTTTTTGGCCAACTCAATACAATCTCTGAAATTAAAAAAAAAAAAAGAATAAGAGAAATAGTTCTCTTTCTGTCGTAAAACAAAACTGCTACGTCTTGCAAAGAACAGAGACACTGGTCACAGCATGTCAATTAAAGCTTAGAAAAGACTCTAATCATAGTCTCTTCTCTGAAGACATAAAGGATTGTTTTATGAATCTGATTTAGTTAAACATTTTAAAGATTGAGAACCAACTAATTTTCAGGACGAGTTTTTTTTTTTTTTTTTGAGTATAGTTTATTTACAATTATTTATTCTTTTTCAAAATCAATTTAGCCTTGATTAAGATAAAACATAAAATAATCTTCACTCTATGTGTTCCATATGGCACGGAATAATTTTGTCAAAATTATTTTGTCAAAGTTTTGTCAAAAAACTTAGGATGGTGTTATTATTTTCTTTCATTGTGGTTTTAAGGATTTGATGGTCTGGCCAACCTGCAGAAGGTTGTAAACTGGCAGATACCGATAATACTTGTTACACTGATGTAGTGTTTTAAAATGTCAATTTTTGGCTCACATTTTCAAATTATTAATAAGACTTTTCATCATTAAAGCCTGGATTTTGGCTTTCACTTCTGCATGGTAACCTCTTCTAGAACTGAGCAGTGGCCAACCCCTTTATATGGATATATTTTCTCAATCTGGCCACGGTCTCTTTCTGTCCATACAGAACCACCATTTACTTAGCACGCTTATACATATGTAGGCTGTGAACCCTGAATTCCTCAATTAGTAGTCAAAGCCCACACTATGTAACCCCTTTCCACTTTTCTAAATTTCTCTCATCACACCTCCTTGAATATTCAACCCTTAGGATGAAATTCCTTTCTCACTGCCAAATACAACACATGCTGTCCAGTTTCTATACATTTTTACCCAAGTACCTCAGCTAAGGGCTTCCCAGGTGGTGCTAATGGTAAAGAACCCACTTGCCAATGCAGGAGACCTAAGAGACACAGCTTCAGATCCCTGGGTCAGGAAGATCCTCTAGAGGAGGGCACAGCAGCCCACTCTAGTATTTTTGTCTGGGAAACTTCATGGACAGAGGAGCCTGTTGGGCTACAGTCCATGGGGTTGCAATGGGGTCGCAAAGAGTTGGACACAACTGAAGCAACTTAGCATGCATGCACACATGCATCTCAGCTAAGAAACACTATGCGATATAGTAATTTTCAGAGATAAAACTCTTTCTTGTTTCATGCTACATCATCAGATCCAGGATGTTGGATTTAAAGAAGGGAGAGATCTTATATTTTTTGAAGGCCTATTATATACCAGGCACTATCTTAAATGTCTTCATTCAATATTCACAACAACCCTGACAAGTAGTTATTATCAGTAATTTACAGGGGTAGCCATAAAGCTCAGAAAGGCTGACTGCATGGTTAACAGATGTTTGAGCAGGAATTCACATCTCAAGACCTTGGTTCTTCTGCAACCCTCTCTGCCTTTTAATGATTATGCAAAATGACAAGATGAAAGTATTAGTCACTCAGTCATGTCCAACTCTTTGCAATCCCATGGACTGTAGCCCATCAGGCTCCTCTGTCCATGAAATTCTCCAGGGAAGAATACTGGAGAGGGTGGCCATTCCCTTCTTCAGGGGATCTTCCTGACCCAGGGATCAAACCAGGGTCTCCTCCATTGCAGGCAGATTCTTTATCATCTGAGCCACCATTATAAAACCCTCTAAATCCTAATGACCAGACTTTAAATATAAACATGCAAAGAGATGACAGTTTACCATCAAACTCAATACTTCCAAGCATTACCAGGAAACAGCAAATGTATACACTTATGGTCACATCTGACTATGCATCTTTATTCTGCTCTGTGCTACTTCATTGACCTTGTATCTTATCCATTCACATGTAACTTCTTCCACCTACTTTCCATTAGAGTGATGAAGGCAGGTATATATTCCACGGGAAAGAGAGAGGTTGGCAATTCTCTGAAAAAGGCTTTCAGCATAACTGCAGCTTCTCTATGGCACATTTTCTCCCACTTAAACTTGTCACCATTAAACTTGGCATCCAGTTCTTCACGGTATTGCTGAAAATCAAGGAAAACAGTGAGTTTACTACCTGATTTCCCTCTTCCCCTTTAAAAACTGTCATTACACAAATCATTTTTGTAATTAGATTGAAATGCCAGTATCTACTAAGTTCCTCATTTTCAACACTATTGAAGAACTGAAATAGCTGTTTCTGAATGTATTTTTAAAAGAACATTCTCTAAAATCTTTTAGAATAATGCAAATCTTAAAGTAATTTGCCATCTGTACAAATACAAAAGTTCTTTACTCAGATCACAGCTTCATTTATATCCTTTTGGCAGAATACTGTCTATCCCCACATGATAAATGCACTGCTAGATTTTGACAAAGCCTCTATTTCCTTTTTTCCCCCCAATGATTCCTTCCTTCTGCCACCTCATCTTGTATTAATATTTCTAAATTCAATGAAGGATGTATGCCTCTTGGCTGGTTTACATACAGAATGAAAACTAACCCAGCATAGAAACTCTGACCTCACTGCAACATGCATACCCATGACATCTTCCTGGAGCAAATACAGAAGTTTTATGCCAAGATGGACACATGTCTTCCACGTGCCTGTGTGCTTGCCCAGTCCCTCGTAAAGTTTGGAACACTGTGTTAATACTTTTTTTAAAGAATCACTAAATGTCCTTATGTTGATTTGGGTTATCCATTTTAGATTATTAACTCATTTGATGGCCAGTACCCTTCCCCCTCTCTGGCATTCTACTGCTCCCTGAACTACAGAGTTTACCAATAACACCAGGCAATTATACTCAATTCTCCAACTGACAATAACTGCTTCAAAAAGGATGCTTAAAAAAAAAGTGAAAAATCCTTAAGGCCTTTGCTTTATTCTCACGAGAAGCCTAAGTCTTCCAGCCTTGAACATGCAAGAGAAGCCAGAGGACGACACGGTGAGATTTATCTTCTCTGATGGCCGGGTGGAAAAATGATCTGGGAGGTGGGGGGTGCGGGTGAGGGACTCAGCACTGATGGGGATCAGGCTGGGGAAATGGAAAGCAGTCACTGGCATTTCTGGTGACGGATAATCGACGACTAACCTGGGTGTGCAGTTGCAGGACAGAAAGAAGAGGTGGCATTTAAGAAACGCCCAGGAAGGAAAATTCTCAAGAAGCGGCGATGGGTTGAATATGAGACTCAGAGGGAGAAATAAACGTCCAGGATGGCTTGCAGATTGCGGGCTGGGATAATGGGCAGAAGGCGGTGCTGTTGACAAGAAGCGGACGGAGAGGAGCCAACGTTTCCCTCTCCTGCTGCCTGTACCACTGCCCTAAAGCCAAGGGGAAACTGGTTTTCAGGAAGCACGGGCAAGAGCAGGATAATTCAGATCCATTTCCATAGACCCGTGCCACAGGAGGCTGGCTGAGACACTGGGTGACTGTCGTTGAAACCTACCAGCGCTTCCCTGTCACCTATGGGGAAACGTGGTCCCAGGATCAAGGGCAGGCTCTAGGACCACACTCATTTAAAAATTTTTTTTTGTTTTTTACTGTGATAAAAGTCACAGAATATAAAACACACTATTTTAGCCACGTTTAACTGTGCAGTTCTGTGGCACTAAGTGTATTCACATCGCTGTGAATACAACTCTCACCGTCATCCATCTCCCTAACATTTCACCTTCCTAAACTGAAACTCTGCCTCCACTAAACACTACAGCTCCCGCTCCCTGCCCCATCTTCCAACAGTCCCTCCCCCCAACCCCAGCATCTACCAAGGTACTTTCCGACTCTAGGAATCTGACTCTTCTAGGTACCTCATGTAAGTGGAATAGAGCAGCATTTGTCTGCACCTACTGTATACTGGAATGCATTTTTAAGGTATAACCACATTCTTTAGGTGTTTAGCCCAGTTCCACAATGGTCTAGTTGAAGGCCTGTGAAGTTTCCCACTGCATAACAGGGATATTAAAACAGCCTCGCAGAGATTAAACTGGAGAACACAGAAAGAACTCGGGGGCGGGGCATGCATACAGAGGGCGCTCAGTAAGTGCTAGCTGCGTTTACCCTCCCTCGTCTCTGCTACAACCTCCAGTGTTATTACTACGGGAAACCTGTGTGTGTGTGGAGTGCTACTCGGGGAATAAGAGCACCTCGCTCGGTCGAGAAGGCCAACGAAAAAGAGGGGAAGGATGCCCTCCCTGAGTCTGGAGCAGAGCACAGCGGAAGCTGCTGCAGAATCCACGGCATCCTAAACAAGGGGCCGGGCGGACCAGGGGCCGACTCTTCCTCACCAGAGACGTGTGGATGTTTAAACTGTTAATGAGGACACGAGGCACGGATCAGGAGCCAGGTCCTTAAACCTCGTCTGAGCAAATATCCAACCCGCTTCTCCTCCTGAGGTAATTTTACAAAAATGCAAATAACCCACCTTCACCCTCAAAAAACCAGTTCAGGGCAGGAAACCAGCAGAACAGGTAACATCCTCACAGAACATTTAGAGCAGCCTCTGAATAATTGAAACGAGTAAAAAAAAGAAAGCTGTGCACGTCAAAGCAGTCTGCTTTCTTCCATAAAATATATTCCCTGGTGTTGGCTCAAATTTCTGTCATTTGTGGAAAAGAAAATTACTGGAAACACCGAGCCATTAAATTGGTTCCAAATGACCCGAGGCCTCACGTCCAGGATGGGCTCAGCGGTTGGTGCCCTGCGAGGCTAATCCCGCAGCATCCCCCAGGGATGCTTCCCTGTGAGTCTAACCAGGCTCTGAAAGTACAACCCACAGTGATACCTGAGGGTTAGAGTCAGCTACTTGGCACGACTTGACGGTAATTATGAGGGAGATTTTTTTTTTTAACTTTCTTTCCCCAAGCACATTTCTAGAAAAAAATAGTCTAACCGATGAAAACATTTTTTTAAGTTTCAAGTTTGAACAAAGGGAAGAAATAAAGACCCCTTGGCTATATCAAGTTGCAATGCCTTTCTAACTGCAATATTCCCTTGTTTCTGTTCACTGACCCAGAGTTCTTCCACACTGGCTTTCCTGGAGCTCAAACCAAGAAAACATCTGGAATACATTTTTCAGACGGACAAGAAATGGAATAAATAGGCTGAAACTACATAAAACCGATTAAGGGCCAAAAGGGACTTTTACCTAATGTGGTTTAGGAATGCATGCATCTATTAGAGCACGTTAAAGGAATTACTGGCCTTTGATAAGTGCTTTTCAGTTAAAGATTAGCTAGAGAAAGGCAACGTGTGCTATGATGTTAAACTTCATACACACAAGAAACAATGTGTAATGTTTCCTCCTTTGAATTATTTTCAAAAATAGAATTTTAAATCATATCCATTATGCTCCCACTCTTCCCTACTAATGCGTGCACACACACATGCACACACTCACAGAATAAGAGTCAGTAAGGACATGTACAAATACAGCTTCCCTATTATGGAAGGAGGTTTAGAGGGATGGAGTCTGATTCAGTTTAGGAAACTTGTTCTCCTGACTTCATTTTGGTTTTCTGACTCTACAGATATAACCACAAAGACTTAACCAAAAAGTGATAGCTTTTGTTCTCGGATTTAGGACACATTTATTTAGAAGTATATGTAAAAACTGTTCCTGTGAGAACCTGAAACAAAAACCAGATCCCATTTAGCAAGTATTAACCTTAAGAAGCCATTAGGAATTTTCCTGCCTTCCAAGTGAACCTGTGCCAGGATTTAGTAATCTCTACTTCCAAGGAAGTCAAGGGCCCCGGAGACATGCAGTGATAAAGTGTGGACCACCACCCAGGTCTCCCTTCAAAACAGACTGGCTGTTCATCTGCAAACACTCCGGGCGGTTGACTCCCCAGCTGCTGGCACCTTCTGCTCAGCCTCAGGCCCTTCCCTGGGGTGAAGGCTGAGAGGGCACGGGCTGATGGTCCCACCTGCACCTAATCTGAGGCTTGACACCCCCAAGTCCGCCTCCCCCGACCCTCGATCCTTGAGAAGCGAGGTCCCCCTGTAACCCTCTTCTCCTCCTAACTTGGTCCCAGCACCTGCCTTCTGGAGCTTCCAATAGATACAGCCTATTTATTCTCAGTTTCCACCTTGAAAAATATCTCGTCATACTTCTATATAAGACTGAGATTTCTGATACAAATAGAATCTCCCAAAGCATATGCCAAAATGAATTAGGGAAGAGATGCTTTCCCGCCCCTACACAATTCCTTTTAATAGTTCTGAACACAGTCAAGTTCCATTTTCCCTCTCCCTGAGGTTTTTTTTCCTCAAGGATTCATTATTGGTAGCTGCTCATGTCTCCAGGTCCACCCACCAGGGGGTGACTCAGGGCAGAGAGGGACTCTTCATCTGTGCACCGGCCGAGCAAGTGGGATGTCTTACTAGAAACGGATGAGCAAAGCTTCCCTTTAATTCTTTTCTTTGCTGAACTGAAGACTTAGCCTCCATACAGAGAGAAGAAAGTAGAGGAATTCCCACCGCACAGTGGTTTTAGATGTAGACGCTAACATTACCTTAAATGGAACCGGGTTTCAGAACTGCTGAGGGAGTATTTTAGTGGTTACAGCCATTCCTACAAATTCCTATAAGGATGTCCATTAAAAGGAAAGCCAGAGAATGTTTCTAAGTTTAAAACAACTGACAATAGATACCAGGGGTCATCTAATATTGGCTCAGTGGATTCTATGATGGAGAGTAACATAAAAAAACTGAAGGGTTTAACCCCCAAAATAATGATGGGACAAGACAAGCGGCGGTTTTTGAGAGTGAATTGATGTGTTCTTTCATTGTTGTTCGCTTTTTATTGTTGTTGTTTTAATTTAAAAGAATGCAAAACTCAGGATCATGGAATAACACTTAGTCATAGGTGTTGAGGAACGCTCTACAACGCCAAGTAATGGAATCAGAAATGATGACAACACCACACATGACGCCTGTGTGAACTGATCTAGCTCGTTGAGATCTCTAATGAAGAAGAGAGACAATGTTTGGTACCTTGACTTTGGCAGTACATCCTGAAAGTCGAAAGATCCCTTCAGATTCCAGACCCGATTCCTCAACTTTCTCGAAGAACTAGAAAGCAATGATACAAGACAGAAATAAATACCTCCATATGATTATGAGCATTTAAAAGAACAACGATGATGAAAACAATACATTACCAAGCATACAGACATGCCAGGCACTTGAATGCCTAGTTAAACATTCACACTCTCCCAGGAGGTCAACGCTAGCCTCTGATTGGCAAATGAGGAAATAGAGGCTTAGGGTACTTTATCACTTTCCCAGGGTCATCCTCAAAAGTGACGGCACCAACTCTGCTCTTAACCACAAAAGCACACTGCCCCTTAAATATTTTAACATCTGATTACTGTATCTTTCTACAGGTCAACCAGTAAGCCAGTTCAGTTGCTCAGTCATGTCCGACTCTTTGTGACCCTATGGACTGCACCACACCAGGATTCCCTGTCCATCACCAACTCCCAGAGCTTGCTCAAACTCATGTCCATCGAGTCGGCATCACCAACCAGTAAGAAAAGACCCTGAATTACTATCATACTATTCTAGCTAAGACACTGTGCATGCATGCAGGCTCAGTTGTGTCCAACTCTTTGCAACCCCTGTCCATGGAATTTTCCCAGGCAGTAACACTGGAATGGGCTATCATTTCCTTCTCCAGGGGATCTTCCTGACCCAGGGATCGAGCCTGTGTCTCTTGCATCTAACCTGCACTGGCAGGGGGTTCTTTACCACTGTACCACCAGGGAAGCCCAAGACACTGTAGGGCTTCTCAAAATCTGACCAAGGAATTAGAAATTATAAAGGCTTATCTGTCTCATGGTAATGGTGATGCTTTACTATTAAATAATAATAAACACTACACTGATTGTGCACTTAGGGTGTGTCAGACAACATTCTCAGCACTTTAGATATATTAATGCATGTGACCCTCACAATAATTCTATGGTGTCCCCATTCTACAGCTGAAGAGACTGAGGCATGGAAGGGGTAAAGATTTGCCCATGTTCACGCAGCAAGAGCAGGATTCAGAGTCTCTGCTATTTTCCCTTTGAGAAATGATGATGCCTGGAACTAAGGCAGCTCCTGCAGGTATGAAGAGAAGTTTAAGTATTTAGGGAAAAGAGACTTCTTCATGAGAAAAGCCTCTACCCCCAGGAGTGGAAGAACAATGCCTCCAGTCGTCTTACAAGAGCACCACTAACCTCAGCAGGACCCAGAGTGAGCCTCTATTGAGGAGTTAGTATGAGACGAACCCAGGCAGTATACTGTGCACCTTCTGTGTGCTAGGTTTCTGTACCTACGTAATAATACAAACATGTGTTGAAGCTTCTCAGTCAGATTTTTATGCATTTTCTTCAGACTGCGTCCTTTTCCTTGAGGAAAAAGGGCATAATAATGGTTCAGTGCAAGGACGGAAAGGAAATCTTAGAGTCACCATGGACTTGCTCCCTTTTGCATCTCTCTCTTGCTGGCTGTGTGTTTTTGGGCATGTTATCTCACCCTATGATGCCTCAGTTGCCTCACCAGTAGAAAGGAGATGACCATACCGACCTCCTGGGGCTCAGTGATGATCAGATGTGATAGGACACAGAGATCACACGTGGCCCAGTGAAGGGAGGCGTCCTGTGGATGCACACGAGGGGCGGTCCTTGGCATCCCCTGGACCCCGCTTGCTATCCTCCCTGCTCCTGTGGGCGGCCAGTCAGTCACCCGACTGGAGGAGTAGCTCAGTCTGAGGTGCCAGTACCCAAACTGAAGAAGACAGGAAAGAGATGTGGAATTGCTGTTGTGAATAAAGTATGTGTCCTCTGTCAGTATTTTCACATGTCATTTAAAAACTGAATTTAAGGAACTTCCCTGAAGGTCCAGTGGTTAAGACTCCATGCTTCCAATGCAGAGGGTGCAGGTTTGATCCCTGGCCAGGGAACTAAGATCCCACATGTCACAGGGCACAGTCAAAAAAAAAAAAAACCCAAAAAACTGAATTTAAAATTCAATAAGATTTGTATTTAGGGCTTGGAATTTTACTTGTACCACTGGATATGCCTGTTGAATAAACCGGTATAAACTGTTGGCTAAAAAAGGTGGGGCTTAAAAGCAAATAAGCCATCCGCCAGTGAGGGTCACTGAGACAACTGTATTGTTCAGACATCATTTTCACAACTTCCTAAACCAAAAGTCTTCTTTGTCGCAACATATACTTTCCCAGGCACACCAAAAACACCACCAGAATAAGCTGATTTCTAGACTTTATTTAGCGTTGTCTGGAAAATTCATGTAAACAGTAATACACACACATCGTAAAACACCCAACCTGTGATATATCTCAGCAAATACTTGTATGATTAATAAAAGGACTGTTAGTAATTAGTAGTCATCTTTTATCCAGGAGAGAATAATCACATATGCACACACAAACACATACATATACACAAATAACATTTTAAAAATATTGGAAGAAATGTAACAGAAGGAAGCCATGTGACAGCATCTGTGTCTATCACCTGATGCTTTCTGGGCGGACAATGCAAGACTTCAGAGGTTCTTAGCAAGGCAAACACACCTAGGTGCCTTGGATGTCATGTGGATGCAAGGAGGGAAGCCGAAAGTCACCAAAGCCAGCATCCTAAAGGGGCCTTTGTGTCTTTAAATCTAAGAATATTCATCAGTGGGTTTATGAATAGCATGCTACAAGCACAGAGCTCTATGAACTCCCCAGTTACGTACACCGTACTCACCTTTAGTAACACAAGGGGAACTTTGACCCCAGAGTCTTTCCTTCGGTCATTTTCCAGCAGGACTGTGAGGGGAACTCCAAAAATCCCACTGTCTTCATTGTTAAACAGCAGGGAGAGAAACAAAGAGTCAGCAAAGCACTGTCTGATTCCCGTGCGTCAAATGTTAGAATCGTAGTAAGTCTTCATACCTCGTCCTTTCACTTTCTCTGTTTTGTTTCTCTTCAGCTGAATTCGAAAGGCGTCAAAAAAGGCCGTCAATTCAATCAGAGAGAGATGGCGGATTTTCTTCATGTCTTCAGCAGACAGATCTTCTGCTTTGGTTAGGCCAAATCTGGTTTTCTGAACAACAAATTTCTAAAATACATATTGAGGATATTTATTTTTTTATGGCAAAGGAAAATTATTATACTTTCATTCAAAGAAGACCTGGAACTTCCAAATCTGTACAGCCTGACATGTTTGCTATTCACAGAAAGATATTTGAGGTGCGTGCTGCACCACAGAAGATCATGAATATGACTGTTAGAACCTCTGGTGATCACAACTACACTAAACCAAACGCAAAGCAGTCACCTGAAGCATATTATAATATCATCACAACTGTGATGTAAAGAGTGCTACTGAAACTGACTGCACGTGCTTGCTGAGATAATAGCCATTCTATCTTAAATATCAAATTTAGGTAATTAAAAATATCCTTAAAAAAGCAAAATGCACAGGAAGTGTCAAATAATCCTACTCTCATTTTGAAGACAATGCCATTGCTATATTCTCCGTTTCCACGTTTTACTTACAGGTAAAACATAGTCTTCTTTCTTAAAATCTAACTTCTTAAATCTGTTCCTTTTTGGAGCCTGTGTTAGCTTTTCTGAATATGATACTTCAAAGGACAGCTCTTCAGCTTCTACCGAAATGTTTTTTTCCAGATATTCATCATCTAAAGAACAAAGGATGTGGAATATTTAATATGACATTTAATTGATCAATACCACTGACTGTAAAATAAACATAAAATATTGATGAGTTAATCCACAAGCACGTTAAAATGTTTACACCCTTGGAAAAGCATCAGACTCACCCAGAATGATCTCAGTTAAACAATTAATGTAGTGTCATCAGACTTCCATACGAACAAGCTTCTACAATCGTTATGTGAACTTCCTATTTAATCTGATGTTTTTAATTTTAGATGTTCATGTCTCATGAAAAGCACTGAAGATTATTAGATTATTAGAAAGTCCATAACAAAATGTTCCTATGTATTCTTATAAAATGATGTCTATCCATATACAACACCACTGCTACGGGGAAGCAAAAACTTAAAGCAGAAGGAGGAAGGGTGGAGGCCCCACAGAAAAGTTCTGCCTACTTTCACTCCTCTTGAGTTTTTATCCCAAACTGTGGGACTATGCCGCTTCAGATTTGTTCCAATCCAGTTTGCCCTTCACTCTGAGATTTGTTCAAGTGAATTAATCCTGATTCCTGTGACTCTGGCCTGGTTTTCTGGTCTTGGATGGTGCACATTCCAAAGATAAATGGGTGACAAGTCCTGTTCCCTATACCTGTTTCTCTCAAGTTTGAAATTAAGACAATAGATTCCTTACCAAAAGCAAGGGAAATCACTTGAGTAATCCTAAATCTGATTTTCGACTGAGAGTCTGGCTTGCCATCTTGTTTTATTGCCTGGCTAAATTGTTCCTATGTCATGAAAAGAATTATTTGACTACAAATAACAGAATTCATCAGCTTTACCCTCTTCTATATTAACTTGTTGATCAACTCTTTGCAATCTCATGGACTGCAGCCCACCAGGCTCCTCTGTCCCTGGGATTTTCCAGCCAGAATACTGGAGTGGTTGCCATTGCCTTTTCCAAAGGATCTTCCTGCCCTGGGGATCAAACCTGCATCTCCTGCATTGGCAGGTAGATTCTTTACCACTGACCTGGAAAGCCCACCCTCTTCTATAAACAATAACTAAAAGAAAGCCAAATAGAACAAAAGGAGCAACAGACAGAAATGACAGAAGACCTAGTTTATCTCAATTAAAAGTTTAGTGGAGAAATTTGTAAATCAACAGATCTAAAATTCTAAAAAATAATATTGATTTAAAACACAATAAATGGATACAGTAAGAACTCAGAAAATAACAAGGCAAAGTTATGATTTTCACACATTATACAGAGGCTTGCATTCAAATCAGAGTAATAGTTAATTATTAGATAAGACTCTAACTACTTGTTCCTTTTTAAAAAATATTTATTTGGCTGTGTCGACTCAACTTGTGGCATGCAGGATCTTTCATCATGGAGTGCGAGTTCAGTAGCTGCGGCATGTGGTATGTGGGATCTTAGTTTCTAGACCAGGAGTCAAACCTGCGTCCACTGCATTGCAAGGTGGATTCTTAATCACTGGACTATCAGGGAAGTCTCAAGACTCTAAATTCTTAAGGATCTAAGGGCAGATTCTTTGGACAGTGGTGATTATACAGGCTGATGTGCCAAATCACTGGACTACTCCAAGTGGCCTTTTACCTCTCAGTGGTATGATTCGAATTGAATAACTACATGGCAGCAAACAGAATGATGTGGAGTAATTTATGGTAAATCCATTATCTTTAATTTTTTTTGATAATGGTTTTATTAAAATGTAATCCACATGCCCAATAATTACTTACGTGAAGTGCATAGTCAATGATTTTTAACATATCTGCAGCATTGTGCAACCATCGATCAATGTTAGAACATTTCGTCACCTCAATTTATTTGAATTTTGAAGCGAACGCTCAAAGCATGGAGCTCTGTTGTGCCTGAGAGGAGCACAGGCACCTTTAGGGGGACCTTTGGGGAACCACAAAACTGTGGCCTAAAAGGGACCTATTTCCTACAAGGAGGATTTGAGATTCCACTCTGAACCCACAGAGAGTACCCAGCTCTCAAGTGGAGGAGGCCCCATTAAAAGTTCACCCTGTTACTTTGTAAGGAAACATCACAAGCGTCTCTGGCGCTGCACATACTTGAGCATAACTAGAGATTTTTAGAAGGTGTCTACTTCCCGGCCTGCTTGATGCTGGTGAGCAGATCCAGGTTACCTATAAAAGAGACCCCAAACCAAAGGCACTACCTGAATGAGCAGTTTCTAAATGACACAGTGGTCGTCAAGGTGGAAACGATTCTGCTTGCAATGTGACTACTGGGTGTGAAAGGACGGGGTGTTTGGAGATAGTGGGAGCAGAGTTCCGGGGTGACAGAAATCAGGAAGGCGAGAAAAACACACATACATTGTGCTTCAGAAACCCACTGCTCACCGAACTGAGCATCAGCACAAAAGCAAAAAGACACACAGGCCGAGGGGGCTGTGTCACTCACCACTTGCCACGTTCCGCGCGGACCGTCCAGGGTCTGCTGCGCCGTTGGAATGGACTGGCACGTCTGGAATGGCCTCCAGGATGGACTGTGAACCAAGGGAAGATGAACAGAGAACAGTTTACCAGGAATGCAGGCTACCCTGCGCTTCCACCTGATTCACGTTGGGCGGCGCATTAGAACTACTTCACCAAAAAGAATGATTGATTCCATGAAGGGCTGGCATCCGATTCCCTGTGTTTTCTCACTCAGTTCAGATCTGTACAGCCCACACAGTTTTCTCAAGAGAACCAAGCCAAGGTCAGAATAACCACACCTCCTCAAGTGTTTGCTGGCATATGTTTCCTAACACATAGAAATGACAACGCTTGCTGTCACATAGTTTGACGATTATTTTATCATTCCGATTGTTTAAAGAATTTTTGATTTCGACCATTTTTAAAGTCTTTACTGAATTTGTTACAATACTGCTTCTGTTTTTATGGGGTTTTGTTTGACTGAGAGGCACGTGGGATACCAGTTCCCTGATCAGGGATCAAACTCACACCCCCTGCATTGGAAAGCAAAGTCTCAACTACTGGACCACCAGAGAAGTCCCTGCACTTGTTATTCTTGATGCAGATGGTCATACATTTTGGTCATAAACCCTAAGTCATGACATAGCTAGATGGTTAATAGAAGGGATCCAGGAGCCAGGATGCCTGGATTCTAATCCTGGCTCTTTCACTTCACATGACTTCCAGTTACAGAACTCGCTATTAGTCTCCCTGGTCGGTAAAATGAAGATTATAAAAGAACATTATTTCAACAAGTTTTTATGAATTTTAAATGGCTATAAATCACATGGGACAACATCTGATACACAGTGACTACTGTATGAGGGTTAGCTACCATTAATATACTAATACATTAACTTCTTCGCAACAAAATACAGAGGGATAATAACTACCAGAGGGTTCAGCATGTTTTCTCGTTGTGTCCTCTCCTAATTAATTTGTTATTTTCCTCACTGTGATCCTGCCACACTGCTGCGCTCCCCTGCAATGCTATCAGAAGCTGGGTATCTATCTTCGTAGAGTTTGATCTCAGTTACTACTGAGATCGGATGCTGGTGGTGGTTTACTTGCTAAGTCATATCCGACTCTTGCAACCCCAAGGAATATAGCCCATCAGGCTCCTTGAGGTGGGTACTAGTAAAAACTTTACACACAAATTCCACCANCCCCAAGGAATATAGCCCATCAGGCTCCTTGAGGTGGGTACTAGTAAAAACTTTACACACAAATTCCACCATTTCTACGAATATGAATTTTATTGTGGAAGTTATCAGTCATGAGTACGTTGAGGGTGAAAATTGGCTACTCCATCAATAATCCTTTATATGCTCTTTATACATAAGTCTGCTTTTTTTCCCCCCAGAACCTGGTGTTGTTTCTTTTATTCTCATATTTATTCAGCAATATGAAGTGAACTGGAGAAGGAAATGGCAACCCACTCCAGTGTTCTTGCCTGGGAAATCCCATGGACAGAGGAGCCTGGTGTTCTACAGTCCATGGGGTCGCAAGAGTCAGAAAGGACTTAGCAGCTAAACCACCACTACTACAAACTGCAGGAAGGAATCTGGAATGCTGAACTTTGTTTTCTCTTTTCCCTACTTTATACCAAAGAGATGACATATCTTATTATGTAAACAGAATGCGCATGCATACCCAATTATTTTAACACAGATGCCCAAGTATATATTTGGTGGCTCTAAAAACTAACACCACAGAATAAAGATTACCCCACAATGAAATCTTAAAAAATGATGTGGAACACTTTTCAGTGGTTTCTTTAAGGTTTCCTACAGAGCAATACTTCATTAAACTTTGAAATAACTCATCTATAGTAGAGAATGTTCCTGAAAATCGACATTCGTGCAGGGCTTGAAGCTAATGGTTTGGGAAGCTTAAATGACTAAATGTCAATTTCCTGGTCTGTAAAGTGGACAAGTGTCATCTGCTCCTTGGGTTTAAGTGGCCTCCAGCCAGCCTACAGTATTGAACAAGGGCCTGTTCTTTGTAATGTAAATGATTCTGGGACTTTCCTGGGGGAAGAAATTTAAATTGTGACCCTTGCTCTTCAGCTACTTATAATGAGAAGAGAGTAACATTTGTGGAACATTATTAAAAGACAGTCCACTGCTAAGAGTGAATTTCTACACTAAAATACAAGTGTTTACTGGAGAGTAGTGGAGAGCAAGGAGGTGCCACCCAAAAGGTCTCACTGAAGAGGTTGTTGATCGTGTGCTGGGACTCAAGGAAAGATGAAAAGGACTTACAAAGGCGGGGAGGTGGGCAAAGAATTCAGGCCAGGCATGGAACGATAAATTCCAGGTATGGGAATCTGAAGCATTCAGGCTTCATGAGAGGATCAACGGAGAGCCTGATTTGCCGGAGTTAAAGCCAGGTAAGAGGTTAAAGCATCTGCCTGCAATGCGGGAGACCTGGGTTCGATCCCTGGGTTGGGAAGATTCCCTGGAGAAGGAAATGGCAACCCACTACAGTATTCTTGCCTGGAGAATCCCATGGACCGAAGAGCCTGGTGGGCTACAGTCCATGGGGTCGCAAAGAGTCGGACACGACTGAGAGACTTCACTTTCACTTTCAAAGCCTGGTAAATGTGCTCAGACTTAGTTTCGTAAGGGCTAAAACACAGCAGAACAAAACAAACAAAAGAGCATTCTTTTCTTGTGTATTAAAGCAGGAGAATGACTTGGTGAAAATGAAAAGAAAGATCTCACTGCCAATAAAGGGACCAGAAGTTTTGAAACACATTGAATGAAAAGGCTCAGTGCTTGGTATTCATGGTTTTGTTTTTTATTCATAGTTTTAAAACATCCCTTTACTCATTAAACATATTAGTATTAGAATCTTAAAATTTTTTTCTAGTGATTTTAAAGTATTTAAAACATATATGCCACTCCCACTTAAAACAAACTTCTCTGGCTTGTCCATAATGGATCCTGCCATCTCCCTACAATCCCAGCCATGAGATTTTTCTACTGGGGCCTCAGCTGGTTTAAGAGAGGCAAAGATATGCAGGCATCAGGGCTCGCCCTGCTGCCCAAATCCCACTGCACTGGGACTGCACAGTCAAGCCTGAGGGATTAGTATTTTAAATCCCAAGATGTAGAAGGTTAGCTCTATCTGCTTGATGGTTTGGTTGATAAGTCATGTCCAACTCTTGCGATCCTATGAACTGTGGCCTGCCAGGCTCCTCTGTCCATGGGATTCTCCAGGCAAGACTACTGGAGTGGGGTGCTATTTCCTTCTCCAGGAGGATCTTGCTGACCCAGGAATTGAAACCGGGTCTCCTGCATTGCAGGCAAATTCTTAACCAACTTAGCTATGTGAGTTCCCTTAAAACTATACTTTGACCATGGCATATTTCCTTCACGTTGAAGAATCACCATACCAAATATTTTTCATGTTAATTACTTAAAGGAGAAATTTATCAACTAATAGATGTTCCTCACTGTCCTGACTGGTTGCTGGGTTTTTTCTCATGGTGTGAATCTACGTTTTGTAACTCCAGATACTAAAGCTGCCTGTACTAGAGTCATTACGGAAAACATGGCTACCATATTCCTCTTCTGCACTTGAGATTAGAATGGAGAAATCCACCTCTTGTAACCACTTTGTGCCAAATTCTCCAGAGATGAACTTAAATAAGTCACATTCATGGATGAATATGCAATCAATTTTGAAATTAAAAAATAACAATTACAACATCTATCCAGATGTGAATTTAAAGGCAATCTGATGACATTGCAGATTAAATACTGAATCACATCTGAAATTATAAACTAAATATTAAAGACAGTGAAAGTAATAAATTCCAGAAACCATGAGAATAGCCAAAGTATTCAGATTACTTCTTAACTTTAAATGCAAGTAATAAACTTTAAAAATAAATGAAATAGGTCTATAATCTAAGAGACTAGAAAAACTTGTCCAAGTCGACCACAGAACGAATGAAAAAATAATTAAGATTAAATAAATTAATATAATTGATATTATATTAATTTAATTTAATAGCAAAAGTAGGCTTAATTAATTAAAGGTAAGGACTTTAAAAAAATATTACCCACACAAGCAAGTATTTACATTCTGATTGACATAAAAGACATAAATCTTAGGGAGAAAAAAGAAGCAATAGCCACCTGTACAGAAAAATGTTAAAATTATGCACCTAAATAAATAAATATATTATATATAACTATATATTTATGTACACACGCAAACACACCAACATATGCTGAAATGGATGTTTTGCTAGAACAAATACATTATCAAATTCATACAGGTTGGGATTGAAAGGAATATAACCCCCAGACTCTACCCACTGAAAAATTAATCAAAGCATTATGGCTACAATAATGCCAGGCCTTGGCATAAAACTACACCTAACAGTTTTTACAGATTATATATTTACATCAAAGAATAACAAATTCCTCCGCTTGATCCTTGTAAAGAACACTGCATTGGCATTAATTCATGGAGTCCTCTTTCAAAATGAGATCTAGTCATTCCCCAGTATTTTGATGTGCCTTCTTGCTAATCATTCCAGGTTGGTGGGCCCACTGGCAGCTGTGGTTTCCTTACAATGCTAGCTGAAGTCCATTTCATCCGTTTGAAGAAACTGCTTCTTCTTGCCTTGAACCTGCAATTTTCCCCTGACACGCAGCCGTCTGGGCAGCTGAAGACTTACCGTGGGGCCACTCCTGGGAAGAGCAAAACTCCATTCTTCATCCTGAGACCCATCTGACAGGGTACTACTGTGGAGCGAAGCACCGTCTGGCTAAATGGAGAAATGGGAGCACGGTTCTTACTCAGGCAAATGCTTTCTATCATGTTTGTGTGTATTCCACCACGTGTACACATGTAGATGCATGTGGCAATATACAAAGCTGTGACTGCGGGGGGTGGGGGGGGCCGGGGGACTGCAGCAGCCCCCCAGGGATCGTCACCATGAGCCACCCAAAGGCCTGGCCTCCTGGCAGACCCGGGCCCTTACAGCAGACCCTGCTATCATCTGCCACAAACTCCGTCTTCCTGAACAATATCTTGGTTTTGTTCCGGGGAGCTAGATGTTAAACCAAAGAATTTGATTTCTGGGCTTCTTTGCAGCTAAAAGTGACCATGTGACAAATGTGGTCAATGAGGTGCAATTTAAGTGTAATTTTACCAACAGTGTTTTCAGAAAAGGTAAGTGTTTTCTGACTGAAAAGAGGAGGGTCAGCTGCTACATGCTTCACGGGGTCTCCAGAGAGGATGCTGGATGCCAGATATGGATGGGTCTGTGCTGAGAGCATCACGTGGCTGCCCTGTCAGTCCTGGACCATCCTGCATAATCATCTCCATGTGAAACAAAGCAACTCCTACTTTCCTATTACATGCAGCCAAACACAAACTTGTCTAATCTTATTATGTTTTTACTCTATTCTAAGACTTTTTTTTGCAATGATTAGAATTCAGTAGCAATAATACTAAAATGCTTTTTCATTTATAAACTTTGAAGGAGATTTTTGCTTTAATGTACAGTGGTATTACTGAAATTTAAGACATGACTATTCTTTTCTTTCATTGCAAAATCAAATATACTTGATACTTATGAAAAGGCATGATGTTTTGTCTTTTAAAAAACTGTCACTCATCTTGATTGACCATATTTTATGAATTTTCTATAGATGGTATGTGTTATTTTGAAAAATGAACAAAGGGCTCTTTTTTTCTTCAAAGGAACAAATAAAACACAAGAACTAGCACAAGAAATTTAAGTCACGATAGCAAACTCACCATCACCCAGCTCCCCTCTCACCCCAAATTACTAAAAATGATGGGGAAAAACACAAATTTTTAAAGGAACAGGTTTTTAACAACACTGGAAACCAGCAAAGAATTCCAGAGCTGAAAGACATTTCTAGATGAAAAGCAAACAGAAATCGTTGGTAAAACAAAACCTCTAACTGAAAGCAGCATAAAAGAAAATTTTTCAGACAGGGAAGATAAAAACAACGTGATGTACAAAGAGTAGGAAAGAGCCGCCAGCAGATAGTCAAGAGTTGTTTACAAATCAGGAATGAAGCAATCAATCATTCCTTAAAATATAGACAGCCCCTAAATATAATCTGAGGAAAAAAACCCAAATTCAGTCTAAATAAAATGAACTAACTGCTTTGGGGTGGGTGGGCTCCTGGTTTGAGTACACTTGACCCTCTGTCTCCACAGTTTCCCATCGGCAGATTCATCCAGTTCAGATGGATACGTAACGTTTGAAATATTTGAAAAAACAAAAAACCCAGAAAGCTCCCAAAAGCTAAAACTTGAGTTTTGTGCATGCCAGTAACCATTTCTATAGCATGTACATTGTAATAAGTATTACGAGTGACCTAGAGATGGTTTAGGGAAGGTGTGTGTAGGTCATATGCTAATACCACATCATTTTATATAAGGGATTTGAGCACCCTTGGATTTTGGTATTCTAGGGGGTCCTGGAACCCATCCCCCAGGGATATTGAGGGAGGAGGGGTCTAAGAGAGAGGCAGCTCTGGAGACCACACAAGACGTGGAGGGGAGATGGAGAAATGAAATCAGCTTTGCCCTTCATTAGTTTTGCATCTGGGGAGTGTTTACTAACCTACCTGACCCCTATATGTACTTTTTCCCTTTTAAAGTTAAGTACACCAATCACTCTCAAAAACACACAATCAACAATTCTGGCCTTTTAAAAAAATCAATCTACATGGCTGCAGAAGAAACATACAGCAATTTCCTACAGTAATCAGTAAAAAATCAATCAAGATTTACACAATGACTGCAAAGAACTTCACGGACCCAGGGGCTGTGGTCCCCTGCGAGTACGCTGGCATCTTCTACCCTGCTGAGCACTTTCGGCTCTGTTTCCCTTCGGTGGGTCCTCCTACCCTCTTGCTGTGACGGGATTCTGATAGACAGGGATAGTGTGAGGGCGGGTCTAGGAATCCGGACAGGGAGAAACACCCAGGACACACAGTCTTGGGGAGAAGCTCTCCTTGCACTGTAAACCAGGGGACACATGCTGTCCCTCCTTCCCCACCCCAGGGCCCCCTGGAGGTGTGCGCTTCCCTCAGCAGATGGGCCTCTCACCTGGGCCAGACTCCACTGCCTGTCACTTACTGCTACATGCTCCAGAAACTAGCATGCTCTCCACGCAAGATGTTTACATTTGGGAAACAACTGGGAAAAACTACATATCTGCTTCTTAGTTGATACTGAAAATATTGAAAAGAAATGTACATAGTAGTCTTAATTTTCTGTACAAGCTCACTCACAAGGACCAAGCTTTAGTTGATAGCATCCTTGCCTTAAAATACACATGTATTTAGTTTTTTAGTAAAAAAAAAAAAGCTATTTATTCCAATTTATTTTCTCAGGATAACTTGCTTAAAATACACATTTAGATATTAGTTTCTTGTAAAGAAACTATACTCCAATATAAAGTTAAATTAAGAAATCAGTTTATGTTGCTGGTGTTTCTGCCTTATAGACGCTTTCTCTAAAAGACAGAATTGAGCTATTTTTGATTTATTGAATTAGTCCTTGCTGAATTTAAGAGTTAAGGGTAACGGGGCTAAGGGTGGCCTGTTTGCCAACAAGCTGAATGATGTTGTGTGTTTAGCAAAGAGAGCTGAGAGTATACATCATTTCTACTGTTACAAATGAATGTTCATGGTGGCATGGTTCATAATGGCTCAAAACTGCAACCAATCCAAATGTCCATCATCAGATGAACAGACACACCAACAGCAGTGTGCCTACACAATGGATTACTGTTAGTGATACAGGGACTAAATTTCTAAGGCATGCAACAAGTGGATGAATCTTAAAATTCTTTTGTGTGCAAGAAGCCAGACACAAGAGTGCGTATTAATCCCAACAGGGCTGGCCTCTGAGGAGAAAGAGGACAGTGGGTGGGAAAAGGCCTGAGAGAAACATATAGGGTGTCCAGAATGTTCTCTGTTTTGACTGACTCTGATTACACAGGTAAAAACATTCTCAAAATGAACTGAATTATATACCTAAAATGCAGGCACTTGTTTTAAAACTACATATCAGTAAAAAAGATTTGGAAATAATCCCATTCCTTACAAATAATATAATTATCTTCAAGTGTCTATAGCTGCTATGAATCAAGAGCCTACAGCTACCATGATGGGTAAATCACAGAGAAAAAAGTTGTTCTTGGTAAATAAGAATATGTTTGCGGAAATTTACAAGGAGTAAGAGAAGCTAAAAAAGGTAACAGAATCATGACCAAGAAAAAAATTACTAACCTGGAACATAAAGATGAAGAAATCTGAGCAAAAGAGAGTAACATGGGAGAAAATTTAGGATATTGAAATTCAATTCAAGCAAAGCAAGAACCATCTAATACGTGCTTGCTGACCATCTTGTGAATTTAAGGATTAAATCCACATGCTATGGTGGCAGCATGGAAGAAAAAAGTCATAAGTTCGGTCCAAGGTTGGCACTGCACTGCACTGTAGTTGTACCAGTTTGGTTTACCCACCATTAGTTGCTTCTTTGTGATTAAAACAAACTCCTACTTGTTTAAATCAAGGTTGCATAGATTTTCTTTTCTATAAAGCAAACACAGATGTAAATGATCATTTTTAACAGATGGTATGATTGTATTTTGCAGTGAATTATAAATCAATAGCAAATGTAGCTATTTGATTTTTACTTAAGGCACTGGAAATAAACCAGGCCGACTACTTTGCCTTCTGAATTAACTAACACCTCAAATGACTAATTCATTTGTGTCAACTACACATAAGGAAAATGTTTTCTCTTATCTATACGAATGATTTGTAGTTAGTGAGGATTGTAGATTGGGTTGTAAGCCTTTTTGTAAATAAATCTTTTGTAAAGGCCTAGACTTAGTGGCACTTATGATTTAGAGTCAAGACTCAATGTCATATAATATATAGACAATAGGCAATTATTTATATTATAATAGACAATTCCTTTATTGTAGGTAGTTTATTGCAAAACCAAGATGTTGGACAATCATGAAATATTATATGGACTCTTCAGATGACCACGCCTTTCTTTCCTAAAACCTAGTAGCATCAATAAACATAACTGAAAAAAAGAAAAAAGTCACACCACCCATACTGTCTCAGCAGAGAGGAGGGAACCTTCTGGGATGCAGCATTCCCTCCTCTAACGTCCTTAGGGGAGGGAATGTGAGGATGAAAAAGGTAAAGACAAAATGGAGAATACAAGTTTCACCAAGGGAGAGAAAAGATAGCTCAGGATAGAAGTACACGTAAAAACAGATGTGAGAGAAGGCTCTGGCTAAACCGTGAATAAAGCAAACTTCCTTGTCTATACACTGACAGATGCTGGATCTTTCTCCCAGGGCTTGCCTGATGTCTGCTCTGGGTAACTGGGGGGTGGGGAGTGGCTCTCGGGAAATGAGGCGGTGGGGGAGAGAAGGGAGCCCTGGACACCTGGGGTGAAGAGTGCACTCAGAAGTAAGGTGCCCGGTGTTCGCCCGCACTGGGGAAACACGTGCTGCTGGCCCAGGACTTGACATCCGTTTCCAGGGGACCTGGGACCCAATGGAACCAACACTCATAGGAGAATGTTTTAAAATGAGAAAAATGTAAAGGGACTAAATCCGTCATAAAGAAATGCGTACCCTCATTGGTTTCCTGGTTTTGTGTCTGTTTTACTAGAGCATGTAGTTATCTGTGGCTGTAACTATTAAACTCAGGCTCACTTACTGCTCAGTGGTTGCCTCCAAATAAAGGCAGACCGGCGTGTGACAGCCGTGCGTGTCCAGCGACCTTAATTATGCTGCCCTGTGGTGAGGTTTAGTGCAGTTGTCTTGAGACCGGCTGCCTGTCTCATCCCTCCCCGTCCTCCTCTATCACTTACCAGGGGGCCGCTCGCTTTGATGATTCCTGGCAGTGCTTTTCCCTCCCGGGCGTCATCCAGCTCGCTAGCATGGCTGTCACAGGTATCACCTGGCTAAGGAGAGAAGTGAAGTCATTTTTATCCAGGCACGTCTTTCCCAATCAGGGCTTCCCAGGTGGCGCAAGTGATAAAGAAGCTGCCTGCCAGTGGAGGAGACGTCAGAGAGGTGGGTTCGATCCCTGGCTTGAGAAGAAAGATCCCCTGGAGGAAGGCATGGCAACCCACTTCAGTATTCTTGCCCAGAGAATCCCCATGGACAGAGGAGCCTGCAGGGCTGCAGTCCACAGGGTCTCAAAGAGGAGGACATGACTGAAGTGACTTAGCATGCACGCACATCTTTCCCAGTGTGATGGTTTACTCAATTACACATTACACTAGAATCGGTTTAAAGGCAAAGAACTGTGCAGATACAGAGTTTAGGACTAAAATTTAATGGTAAGAGCATTCACCAGTTCCTCTGAAAGGATGCTGATCCTCGTAAGTGTCATGCACTAGAACAGGAATGAGTCTCAAAAGCAGACACTGCTACCTGCCTGCCAAAACTCGCTTTTCTTTTCTCCTCTAACATACGAATATCATGATCTTGCTATAGGATGCTGTGTGTCTGTCTACAAGGACTAAGTGTGATCCTGTGATGGTTTGGTCCAGTGCGATTTTGGTTAAAACGCTACTAGGGAGAACAGCTGGGAAGGCTAGCGTTCTCTTGCTAACGGGGACAGAATCAAGCTGACTGATGCTTCTTCCAGGACGTGGGCATGACACGTGTGATGCCCAGACATCCCACAAGCATTAAATATTAGCCTGCATGCTACATGGAGCACATTGGAAAGATTAAAAAATTGGTAGGTCCATGAGAGAGGTATTAGTCATACCAGCCTCAGAGTCCTTATTCTGTAAGGAAAACAAACCTCTAATTGTCTAAGTCAGGAAGCTTACTGATAAAACTATGCTACTTAAAAGTCAGACTTTATGACTATATTTTGGAATGATTTACAAATCAAAAGCAAGAGCATTCAGCGCTCTTTCAATTATGAAACTAGAAAAACATTAGGCCGATTATCTCACAAATACATATGACTGAGCCAAATATTTCATTCCCATTCTCTGAGATTTGGAAAGGCTCTGATTTTTCACTACAGAACTATGCAGCAAATGTATTTGAGATTATTCCAACTATAACGCACTGCTGTGTAGGCCTTGTGTATGTGCTCTAAGATTTTTTAGCAGCATTTGCGATACAATGGCAAATTTCCCAAAATAAGATGCAAATATTCTATCCATGATTAAAACAATGCTTTGCAAAATTAAACATGCTGGGTATTAATAAAATAAACTTTCACATGAGACCTTAGAAACTTCTTTTTCCGTATTTTCTAACTTTTCCCCAGTGTGTATGCATGCTATTCACGTGAAGAATACATGTCTCTTTGGAAGTGGAAACAATGCTAAAAAGCAGTACAAGAAAACTTAGGTCAGGATGGAGAACAGAGAGTGAACCACTCCCAATAGAGAAAGGGCGTATTTTTGTAAGTACAGCTCCAAAGGGCACTGAAAACCAACAAAGTATTCTCCTAACAGATGAAAAATTGTTAGAAATTCCTGGAAAGTGAAAAATAATTTGCTTCACAATCATAGAGAAATTCTCAGCCTAAGAAGAGCATAAGACAACACTGCTGGCAAATCCACAAAAAACAGACAAACGAACAACCAAACTTAAGACTGATAAATTACACAGGACAGAAGAGGCTCCAGGGTGACAGCTAGGAAAATTCAGTGTCAAGTGTTTCCTCAGCGAAGGGGCCAAAGAAATCCTGACAGCCCCCTTTACACTGAGCAGCAGGCAGAAGCCAGGCATAAACCCAAGGAAAGCCTTCTGGATGAAGTGAACCACCTGCCTAAGAAAGAGGCCGAGTGTTGGGAACACGACCGACCTCAATATCAGGTCACTCTGGACCTTCATGAAAGAAATGGGTGGGAAAGTAAAAGGAAAACATGAATTTTATCTGGGAATGATGTCATCTGTTACCTTCCCTTTGGCACTGAAGGTGTGTGCATGCGTGTATTTATCTGTGTGTGTATACATGTCTACACATACACACATGCACAGACTCATCCATGTATGCTGTTAAAATAACATCCCTTCACAGACTGTTCACACACCTTAGTGATTTACAAAGGACCCAAAGTCAGCCCTCTTAGTCAATAAAGAGCTCTTTGGGAAAACATCTATATAATGGCAGAGAAAGCATACAGCAAAAACATGTCCTAAAAGTCACCAACTAGGCAATCCAGCCAATCACCAACGATCATCAGTCACTGGAGAAAAATCACTATAAAAAAGTTGGCCATGGAGAAAAATCAACATTTTGGGGAAAAAAGCAGCATACAGATAATGGCAAACATTCTGGGAGAAAGAGATAATCGAGGGAAGAGAAAAAGGCTTATGATGATGTAACAATTTCAGAGAGATTTGAGAGACTACTGCAATCATCCTTCAGGACTGCCTATAACAAGAAAGGGTAAATCAGTGCAAAAAGCAGGAGTTCTTATGAATTAACAGGATGATTGCTGAATTTAAAAATCAACAGGGACCCAATTATAACCACTCTTGACAAAAATTAGAAATAGGTTTCCACAGGATGATGTGGACAAAATCTGCTAGCATACAGAACAAATGGACAAAAAGACACGGGAAATGTAAGAGACAATTTAAGAACTTAGTGAATTTAACGCAAGAAATGAAAAAGAAGAAAAGGGAAAATGGAGATAATCTAGAAGGGATAAGGGGCTGGCCTGTAAAGTGCAGACAGAGTGACCCACATAAGACACATGTAAGGGGAAAGGAAACTGCAGAGAATCTCAACATCATGGTCACCATCATCTTCATCAGATCAAGAATGGTACCGGGGTCAGTCCTCAACCAACACAGAACCCGTCTCCCTCTGCTGAGAAGGGTAATAAAGAGCTAAGGAGAAGGAAACACAGAAGCACAAGAGAAGCAAGTCTCCCCCTGTGGATTTTTGCTGCCAGGAGGCCACGTGGAGACAGATGTCAGTAACCCATGTCCTTCCCAGAGTGAAGGGTGTGCTCAGTAAGAGGATCCAGCCTCATGCCAGGAGGTACAGACTACAGCTTGCGAGTCATCTCTTTTGCTAAAACAGCCTCAGTGGCAGTTCTGAACTCCGGCACTCTGGAACTCTACTAACCTGGGTGAGTGGGCTCTAGGGAAGCACGTATACCTCTTATGCGAGATTGTGTGTTTTTCCCACTTACTGTGACACTTTCCAGAGGCTGAAGTGCTGTGTCCCCACGACAGATTTACATTTAGAAAATAACTGAAATGTCAAAATATTTCTTATGGTGAGAATTAAATTAACTCTGAAGGATTCAAAGAAGGTAGCCTAAAATTTTCCACTGCGCACTTGGCAGAGAGAACAATGGCTCAGCTGACGGCCTCCCCCAGTCCTGACTCCCAGCAGCCGCAGCTGTGGTTGTTTTTGTCACTGTAGGTACAAGGAGGCCACGTTGTTGTTTGTGGATTTAACTATTTAATCATTCATTCCTGAGTCTGAGACCCTTTTTTTCTTCCTTGTTACAAGATAAGTAAGTTTTTTTTTTTTTTCCTTCAAAAATTTTCCAGGTTTCCTTGAAGTAACCACTTCTCCTGACCCCCGGGTGCTCGCACCCCTCTCTTTGTCTTACCAGCTGACCATTTCTGCAGGGGACCGTTGGCATCCTTCCTTCATCCGGGCTCACATCCAGAAGAGGAGCTGGGACACAACAAAAATCATCTGGCTATTGAGAAAAACAGAGAGCATTTTTATTCAGGCATGTTCTCCCAGGGGTCACAGTGCATTCAATCACGCATTATGCATCCAGTGCGCACGTCCATCCAGACTTGGTGAGACGTCCACAGATACGACTGCCTGTGCACCCAGCACTGCATGTGGCCACTTGGCAGCCAGTCCCGGGACCTCACCACACGCCAGGTGCAGTGACAGACACTGGTCTCTGTGGAAGACACTGTAAATTAACCTCCTGCCCCAAACCCAGTTGCCTGTCTTCCTTAATAGGGTCTTGATTTTTTTTTTTCCAGGAATGTTTGTGTACAATTAGAAAGTATTAATTTCCCAGGCTCTCTTGTAGCTACGAGTGATCATATAATGTTTCCAGGCCATGAGAGGTAACTGTAATTCTACCAAGTAAGATTTCTGGGAAACTGAAGTCAGAGAGAGACAGTCAGGAAGTACAAGCACCAGGAACTGCCAGGAACATGGATGTGGTTGTCAGGAGTGGCCCAGCCTCCTGGGTAAGCAGAAGGATGAAGGCCATGCATGAAAGACGCAATACAAAGAAGGAAGGAAGCCTGATCTACGCTAAAGCAAAGGAACACCTCCTTTCAGCTTCCTCATTTGTACTTGTATAACTCCTGGGTTTTCCGTGCCATGCAGTCAAGCATATATATGTGATATAATCATGTTTTTTCCAAAAAGAACTGCATGCTTATATTTATACAGTTAATTGTGAGTTAGTCCCACCTTTAACTGTTTTTCAGTTATGAAATTGGAAATAGATTCGGTTGACTGTTTTGCTCAGTGAAATGTATTACTGGAGGTAATAACTGATTCACAGCTTCTAAATATTAGAAAAATTCTGTTTGGGCTCATGATGAAATGGATTTGAGATCTTGCACTATGTACCCAAAGGCTGACTTAGTATCTGTGATTTAGTGTGTAAGAGTTCTACTAAAACAAGGTTTAAATAGTCTATTCTTTTAGAATAGAATTTCACTGAAAATTATACTTATTGACTAGTCAATTAAATCACAAAATTTTATTTGGGCCCATGGAAATACTCATGTTTTTCCTTGCTTGTCCCTATTTTCTAAATTTCCATTAAAGACTATGCATTATTTTTATAATAAGGAAAAAAACACATTTTTTGGAAGAAACACATACTACTGAGAAATCGACATAAGAAACTTGGATCAAGATGGCATATTCTCCTGCCCCTGCAAATCACTCAACATGTCAGAGTTACTTTTCTCAAAGAGTAGATCTAGAAACCACGAAATATTTCCATTAGTAGAAGAGAAATTGCTGGATGTTCCTGGAAGATAAAAAGCAAGCAAGAATGGTTTGATAAGGGTAGAGAAAAACTTGGGCCTGAAAAAAAAGGTGCAAGAGAAAAACATGTGGAAGGTTGATGCCGATCAAGAAAAAGCACATCTCCAGAATGAAAATTAAATGAGCAGGAAGGCATCACCTAATTCAGAAGACAACAGCCATTTAGGAGAAGGGCAGGCAGCAGCTAAATGTATTCAGGTTTCAACTTAACTGTCCCCATGGTGACAGACTGACCATCTTCTTCCACCTGCGACCACTTGGCCTGCCTCACTCCCCACCGTCTCTAGAGCTGGGGCTCCAGCAGCAAGACTGGGTGGAGAGAAGCAGGAGGTGCACAGGAGGAAGGCCCCAGGCCACTCTCCTGGCCCACCAGGAATGTGGTCATCTCTCTGCCTTTGCTGGAGTTAAATACTGAACCGTTTACTGCACTTACACGCTATGGAAAAATAAGAAAAACAAGACTGTTCATAACACTTGAGCCCCAGTGGGAAAGTGCCCACATTATAATTCCCTTCAGGGTCCAAGTGAAAGGAGAAGCACTGTTTCTATGTGGCTACAGTGTAAAGTTTTAGGAAACCTAGAGAGGTTAGTTATGCATTTTTCTTGAGTAGCTGGGGGATTCAAAAGAAGCTACAGCTATTTCTACATTTTGCAGTTTGCCAGGCAAGAGGAATTGATGCTTTTGAACTTTGGTGCTGCAGAAGACTCTTGAGAGTCCCTTGGACTGCATGATCAAACCAGTCAATCCTAAAGGAAATCAACCCTGAATATTCATTGCAAGGACTGATGCTGAAGCTCCAATACTTTGGCCACCTGAAGCAAACAGTCGGTTCACTGGAAAAGACCCTGATGCTGGGAAAGGCTGAAGGCAAAAGGAGAAGGGGGTAGCAGAAGATGAGATGGTCAGATACCACAACCAACTCAAGGGACGTGAATTGAAGCAAACTCTGGGAGATGGTGAAGGCCAGGGGAGCCTGGCATGCTGCAATGCATGGGGTCACAAACAGTCAGACACGACAAAACAACGACAGCAAGGGAAAACAAAAAATCTTAGTCTGAAGTAGCCAGAAACAGATACCACAACCAACTCAAGGGACGTGAATTGAAGCAAACTCTGGGAGATGGTGAAGGCCAGGGGAGCCTGGCATGCTGCAATGCATGGGGTCTCTTTTGAACTTTGGTGCTGCAGAAGACTCTTGAGAGTCCCTTGGACTGCATGATCAAACCAGTCAATCCTAAAGGAAATCAACCCTGAATATTCATTGCAAGGACTGATGCTGAAGCTCCAATACTTTGGCCACCTGATGCAAACAGTCGGCTCACTGGAAAAGACCCTGATGCTGGGAAAGGCTGAAGGCAAAAGGAGAAGAGGGTAGCAGAAGATGAGATGGTCAGATACCACAACCAACTCAAGGGACGTGAATTGGAGCAAACTCTAGGAGATGGTGAAGGACAGAGGAGCCTGGCGTGCTGCAATGCATGGGGTCACAAACAGTCAGACACGACTAAACAACGACAGCAAGGGAAAACAAAAAATCTTAGTCTGAAGTAGCCAGAAACAGAAACGGGGAAAGAATGCATGTAGGCCAAGTTCTTAGTACTCGCTCAAGATATCTGGGTGATAACTGGAAAATGACACTGGAAATTTAAACCCGAAGGGCAAACCTTTCCTTTGATAGGCATCTAGTCCAGGACTTGTGTGTATGGAGCCTGGCCTCAAGTTGTAGGCATTGCCTTTACCCAGTTCCAGCTGGAGACAATCTCACCTTCCAGGAAGACACAGGTATCAACCAGGCTGAAAGTTCAAACAGCACAGAACTCAGAATACCTTCCCTCATTCTGCTATAACTCATTATACATGGCAGAAGATTCTAGAACTGTGACCAATATACTGGCTACAAGCCATATGTGACAATTTAGGTTTAAATCAATTATGATGAAACACAGTTAAAATTTTCATTCCTTACTTACACTAGCTACGTTTCAAGTGCTGATGCCACATGTGGCTGGGGCTATCACTTTGGAGAGCACAGAAATGGGTCGTTTCCACTACATCAGACAGTTCTAAGAATTGGATAAAGAAGGCTGAGTGCCAAAGAACTGATGCTTTCGAACTGTGGTGCTGGAGAAGATTCTTGAGGTTCCCTTGGACAGCAAGGAGAGCAAACCATTCAATCCTAAAGGAAATCAATCCTGAATATTCATTGGAAGGACGGATGCTGAAGCTCCAATACTTTGGCCACCTGATGTGAAGAGCTAACTCATTGGAAAAGACCCTGATGTTGGGAAAGATTGACAGATGGAGCAGAAGGGGATGACAGAAGATGAGACGATTGGATGGGCTCACCAGCTCAATGGACATGAGTTTGAACAAACTCCAGGAGACAGTGAAGGACAGGGAAGCCTGGTGTGCTGCAGTCCATAGGGTTGCAAAGAGTTGGATGTGACTGAGTGACTCAACAACAACAACAAAGACTGGTCTAAAGGCCAGGATTCTTCCAGGATATTGTAAACACACAGGCAAAGCTTAACTCTATAGACGTGAGCTGCTTTGGCAACACCCCACTCTGGTTAATGTATCTAAGAGAAGACTTGACTGACACACAACCTGTTTTCAAATTAGAGACTGTTTTCAGTTACGCCAGCTACCTAATATCCTTGAAGTTTTAGTTTATGTCATTACTGATATCACAAGTAAGCAGATAAGAAACCTAAATCAAAGTGATTAACTAACTGGCCTTAGCCAACTTTTTCGGTGCCTGCAGCAGAGCATCAAGTTCCCCTTTTCCTATTTATGAATCCGAGGTCCATGAATCCTATCTGCATAGAACCTGATACAAGAATTGCACAGAGGGACTTCCCTGGTGGTCCAGGGGTTAAGAATCCACCTTCCAATGCAGGGAAGGTGGGTTCGATCCCTGGTTGGGAAACTAAAATCCCACATGCTGGGGGGCAACTAAGCCCAGGAGCTGCAACTACTGAGTCCTGTGCGCCTCAGCAAGAGAAAAAGACCATGCACTGCAACTCAGAGTTACATACTGTCACTAAGACCCAACACAGCCAAAAATAAATGATAAGGAAATATTTTTTTAAAAAAGAATTGCACAGAGGACATATCCAATAATTATCTGTTGCATCAATGATGCAATAAACGGATGAATGAAGTAGATCAGAATTGGTAGTGAAAGACCGCAGAAATAGGAGGACGTGACTCACAGCCTTGCAAGTAAAACTGTGGCCCTGGAACCGCCAAGGGTGAGGTGGAATTTCAACCAGCCATGGCTCAGAAAACATGTGAGGTGCCCCTGATTTTTTTTGAATCATTCTCTGGCCCACTTGATTAATGCTGTATCTCACTTTTTACCATTTTAATTTCTTTGAACATAAAGGTACCCTAACCACTCTCCCATCCCCACCCCCAATTAAAGCAAACCACCCAGCCGTGCTCATGAGGCTTGGAGTGCGTTGCCTGTCCACAGAGCTTTCAGTCAGCACTCAGATTTAAGTAAAGGCTCCCTGGAACCCTCCCACAAAGACGCACTCCATTACCAAAGAAGTTATCCTCCAACTTCAAAAGAAGGGAATAAATTTTGTGTGCAGGGAGCCTGCTGCATAGGAAATAAGAAATAGTCACTTAAGTTTATAAAATCTTGCATGTTGCTGTCTGCTTCAGCTTTCTCTTTTAAAGCTAGAGGATGACTATGAACTGTCCTGATATTTTTTCCATGTTCTCCTCTGCTCCCCTAAACATATCTTTTGAGCCCTGTCCATTACTTACAGGAGATTCGCTGGCTCCGAAGATGTCTCTGACATCCCTGACAGATTGCTTGTTCTTTTTCCTCAAGGTTTGTGTGTAGGTATTGTATCTCTTCTTCACTGCAGCTGCCTGGGTTCGAGTCAAAGTAGAGAGCAAAGCTTTGCCATCTTCCTCCTCATCACCCGAGATCAGGGTTGATAAACCCACATCTTGCAACCACTCCGCTTCAAGTTCTCCTTCTGTAAGATGAAGTTGCCAAAAGAAAGTGAGAATATTCTGTGACTGGATGACGTGTGTATCTGTGTCTGTACACATCAATGAGTAAGAAATATCAGTAAACGATGTAAGAAGACCATCCTGGACTCTGAAGACATTATGCCAAGTGAAGTAAGTGAGACTGAGGAAGACAAACACCACACACCATACAATCTCATTACACGTGGAGTTTAAGGACAAAACAAAGCAAAAAGCCCAAGAGCATAAATATGGAGAATAGACAGTATGCTCAGCAGAGGCAAGGAGTCGGGGTGGGTAAGATGGGTAAAGATGGTCAAAAGGTACACACTTCCAGTTACAAAATAAGTAAGTCAAGAGGATGTAATGCACAGCATGGTGACCATATTTAATAACACTCTATTGCGTATTTGAAAATTGTTAGGAGAGTAGGATCTTCAAAGTTCTTACCACAAGAAAAACAATTTTGTAACAATGTGTGACAATGGATATTAACTACACTTACTTTGGTGACTGTTTCACAACCATATATGTATTCAAATATCTAATCATTATGTTGTATACCTGAAACTAATATGATGGGAATAGAAGGCTATTGATAAAGAACATCTATAAAAACTTAACAGTTATAACCATTTTTCGTGGTGAATATTGAAGCCTTCCCCTGCAAAACCGGGATCACAGCAAGGATATAAACTGTCATCACTTACTTTCATTCAACTTATTCGGAGGCCTTACTGATATGATAAGGCAAGATTAAAAAAATAAAAACATAGAAGCCAGAAAGGAAAGAGTAAAAACTGTCTCTATTCCCCAAAAATCTCTTTGTTTATTTAGAAAATCGTAAGACATTTAGTAGTAGACAACTCCTGGTAAGTGAATTTAGAAAGATAATGAAATAAAAGGTCAGGTTACAAAAATCAATTGTACTTTTGCACAAGGAACAAACAAGAGAAAAATGAGAGAGGAGCGAGAACAAAAGAGAGACACCCATTTAAAAGATCCCACAAGGACTTTCCTGGTGATCCAGTGGTTAAGAATCCACCTGCCAATGCAGGGGATACAGGTTTGATCCCTAACCTGGGATGATCCCACAAGCTGTGGAGCACCTAAGCCCATGTACCGCAACTACTGAGCTTGTGCTCCAGAACCCGGGAGCCACATACGCTGAGCCCACACACCCCAGAGCCTGTGCTCTGTTGCAAGAGAAGCTACGGCAACAAGAAAAGAGCCCCCAGTTACGGAAACTAGAGAAAGCCTATGTGCAGCAACGATGATCCGGGGCAGCCCCAAACCAATCAATCAATCAATCCTTGCACTTTCAAAAAACAAAAGGCAAAGGATTTATATGATAGTAAGAGAAACCAAAGTATAAGCAGAAATAAAATTGCTTCTACCAATAAAACATAAATAAACAAAAATTTAAAAACCCACTAAGAATATGAATAGGCAAGCCACAGATGGTGAGAAAGTATTTGCAATACATGTATTTGACAAAAGATGAATCCAGAATACACGATGAATTCATACAAGGCAATAATAGAAAGATATTTTTTAAAAAGAGTCAAAAGATTTTACAAAGCCAGATAGAGGGATGGAGGAGAATAAGCACTAGAAGAAGTGTTTGACATCATTAGTCATCAGTGAAATGTAATTACAGCCACAGTGAGATACCTCCACATGTTGCTAGAACCATTCAAGTAAAAGTCTTAAAGCATCAAAATGTTCAAGGACATGAAGCAACTAGACTTGCTGTCAGACACTGCAGGGAGGAATGTGAAATGGTACAGCTGCATTGGAAAAAGAGTTGCAGTTTCTTATGTACATAATTACACATATTCTATGAAAAATGCATACATCCAAGAGAAATAAAAATACATCTCCACCAAAAGACTTTCACAAAATTGTTCACAGCAGCCTTATTCATAATGGCCAAAGCTGTTAACAATCCACAAGTTCACTAACAGTTAAATGAACAGACAAATTATGGCATATTCATACAACAGAATATTGCCATTATGGGTCGAACTGGGTCCCTGGAAGATACGTGGAAGTTCTAACCACCAATTCGGGTGAATGTAAACTTCTTTGGAAATAGAGTCTTTGCAGGTGTAATGAGGATCTAAGCTGAAATGAGGTCATACTGGAGTAGAGTGGGTCCTTTATCCAATATCTCTCTCTAGCAGTCATGTCCAACTCTTTGCGATCCCGTGGGCTGTAGCTTGCCAGGCTCCTCTGTCTATGGAACTCTCCAGGCAAGAATATTGGAGTGGGTAGCCTATCTCTTCTCTAGGGGATCTTCCCAACACTGGGATCAAACCCAGGTCCCCCACATTGCAGGAGGATTCTTTACCATCCAAGTCACCAGGGAAGCCCATTTTGTACTGGACTAGACCAAGGGAACATTTCATGCAAAGATGGGTTCCATAAAGGACAGAAATGGTATGGACCTAACAGAAGCAGAAGATATTAAGAAGAGGTGGCAAGAATACACAGAAGAACTGTACAAAAAGGATCTTCACGACCCAGATAATCAAGATGGTGTGATCACTCACCTAGAGCCAGACATCCTGGAATGTGAAATCAGGTGGGCCTTTGAAAGCATCACTACAAACAAAGCTAGTGGAGGTGATGGAATTCCAGTTGAGCTATTTCAAATCCTAAAAGATGATGCTGTGAAAGTGCTGCACTCAATATGCCAAAAAATTTGGAAAACTCAGCAGTGGCCACAGGACTGGAAAAGGTCAGTTTTCATTCCAATCCCAAAGAAAGGCAAT